ATAATGATTATTTCAACCTAGAAGGGCATGCACAGGGAAGATTTAATGAAGTTTTTCAATAGTTCAGATAGTGTTTCTCACATGTTGGGATTTTAGAGCCAATGAAAATAACACAAAGGCCTAGGCTCATTGGAGTAGGCTAGGATCTGGACCTCTGCCTTTCATCAAATTCCTCAGGTGATTTCAATTCATACCAAAGTGTGTGTATATATATGTGTGTGTGCGTGCATGTACCCATGTACGCATAGTGACTGTTTGCATATGTACTAAAGCAAATAATTAAAGGTTAAATTACAGCATGAAGCATTTAGATGAAAGAGTAGAAGAGGAAATGTAGGAGGAAGTTTATACAGCCTGAAATGGCTTACTTGGGAATGGTATAAAGCAGTGGTTCTCAAAACACACCAGAAATTCTTGGAAGGCTGCCCACACCACTCCCCACCAATTTGTAATTCAGTAGGTGTAGAGTAAGACCCTAGAATTTGCATTTCTAACAAGTTGCCAGGTGCTGCTGATGCTGCTGGCCCAGGGGCCATACTTGAGGACGATTGGTATAGACAAGCACAGTAGTTCTAAACCCTGGCTGCACTCTAGAAAAGTCTGGAATGAGTTTTTAAAGTACAGATGATGGGGACTCAGCCCTAGAGATTCTGCTATAATAGAATTTCAGTGGAGGTCAGATAGCGTAGTTTTTAAAGCTCCCAGGTGTTTTAATGTGCAGTCCCAGTTGAGAACCACGGATCCTAAGGCTTCCTGGAAAAGCAGAGGGAGTCACATTCAGTCCTGGGTTACCTGATTTAATCATGTTTGTTTGCATGTCTTTTGCCCAAAGGGCAAAGACATCCTTTTCCCACCCGGAATTGATGCTCTGATGCTCTGATGAGGATGCTTTTTAAATGCATTTCCATGAGACAGGAGTAAAACCAGCTAGACTCCGTTGATTTTTTTTCTTTCAACAATGCTGCCCTCTTGTGTCCTTAAATAGAATTGTGTAAAAGCCCATTTCACTTCCTGCTACAGAGCTAAACAACTTGGGGGATTTTTCTTTGATGTTAAGAAAAAAAACCAACAACAAATTTTAACATCCATTAAGCTTAATTTTTAATCTGTGGCAACATGAATCTCCAACGGCGGCCCCTTGCTTCTCCCACCTTTTTTCCCTGCATTCAGTGCTTCAGCCTCCTCCAAGGATAAGAACTACTTGATTTTTTTTCTTCATTCTGCCAAACCCTTCTCTGCAGAGCCAGAAGCACAACCAATCAGGGAGCAAGAAATTACCACCAACTAAAGTATTTGGGGCATTGGAGAGTCTCGCATACGCTCGTCCATACTCAGAATCATTCGTTCTCACCACACCCACCTCTTCTTCACTTGATTGATAGCTTATTAAACAAGACGAAACCAGAGAGGGAGACAAACCATAAGAGACTCTTAATCTCAGGAAACAAACTGAGGGTTGCTGGAGTGGTGGGGGGTGGGAGGGATGGGGGGGCTGGGTGATGGACATCAGGGAGGGTATGTGTTGTGGTGAGCGCTGTGAATTATGTAAGACTGATGAATCACAGACCTGTACCCCTGAAACAAATAATACATTATGTGTTAATTTAAAAAATTAAAAAAAAAAAGAATAGAATTCATCACACGGGAGCTCCCATGTCTTCCCACGATGAGTTCAACACACCTTTCAGAGTTCCGCCATCTGGATGCAGTCCTCTGCACCTCACAGGTACCTGCCCCCCCTCCATCTCACTTGATCGAGTCTCCCTCTCCCTCTGGCCCCAGCCTCCAGCCAAGATCATCACCAACTCCCTCTTTTTAAATCACTCCCAATGGCACACAGGCTTATTTTTATGTCTCCCATCTTTAAAATAAAACTCTCCTTTGGTCCTAAGTACCCCTTCAGCTACTGCGCCATTTCTCTGCTTCATTCACTTCCAAACTTGGGAAGAGTCTACTCAGGTTGTGTCTAAAGCCCGTCTCCCCCACCCCCACCCCTTTTTCCCATCTGCTCCCACCTGGCTGTGGTCCCATGGCACCAGACACTGAAACGGCTCTTCTCATGGCCTGCAAGGACCTCCCTGGCGTGTGCCAAAGCCAGTGGACACTGTGTTGTACCCTCTGATCTGAATGCTCAGAGTGTTCCATTCTGTGGGCACTGTTCCTTCTCCAAGCACTCTGTTCTTGATTCTGCAACATCCCATGACCTGGCTTCCTTCCTGCTCCTCTGGCCACGGATGAACCAGAACCTTGCCATGTGCTCTCTCTGACTCCTGGGCTGGCTTGTAGAACCTTTTCTGTGTCCTCGGCAGACTCTCTTTATATAGTCTCATCTGCTGCTGTGAATTTCAAGACAACTAATAGACTGATAGGTGATAAATATGTCATCTCCAGCCTGGGTTGCTGACCATGTCATTCATCCACTGATTTCTACTCAACATCTCCCCCTTAGTATCTCGCAGGCATCTCCATTCATCGCACATCCAAAGAGGAACCCTTGATTTTTCTCCCAAAACCTGTTGCTCCCTCAGTCTTCCTCATCCCTGTAAGTGGCCAGATATCTGGGAGATCGTCTTGATCCCTTCCTTTTCCTTACTTGCTACATTCAGTCCATCCTCAAGCCTGGTGGATTCTACCAAAATATATTTTGAATCCATCTGTATCTGTCTGTCTTTACTACCACCACTCTCATCTCCTGCCTGGAATACTATAGTTCCTTCCTAAAGATCTTCCTGCTCCCTCCAGCCCTCCCCCTCCCAACTGATTCCCTACGGCCGAGTCAGAAATAGTGTTATAAAATGTAAACTACATCCTCTTGTTGCCTTCCCACTAAACTTTGAATAACATACAAACAACATGGTTTGCCCTCTGCCAACTGTATCTTCTACCCCCGTCCTCCTTCCTCACTCATCTCCTTCCACAATGGGCTGCCTTCTGATTGCCAGACCTCACTAAGCCCTCTCCTGTACGTGCTGTTCCATCTGCCTAGAATGAATGCTCTTTCCTTGTTCTTCACACGGCTGCCTCCTTTATTCTTGATGCCTAAACATTACTCCTCGGGGAGATCTTCCTTGACCTCATTCCTTATCTCATACCCTGTTTGTTTTCTTCACAACACTTCACATTTTGTAATTACTTCCTTGCATACATCCTCATCTCCCGCTTTCAACTCCCTGAGTCCAGGAGCTCCGTATTTGTTTTGCTCACAGATGAACCCAGCAACTGGCATAGTCCCTGGCAAATATTAGGTTTTTAGTAAGTGCATGTTGAATAAGTGAATGAAGGTACAGAAAGAGCCACAACCGCCATTTCATCTTAACTGCTCTTGTCAAAGCCTCAGTGCTGACAAGCCACGAAACTGTCCAGTGCTCATCTTACTGATTGCAGAATAGAGACGGGGTGGGGGGCTTGGATTCCATTTATTCTCTGTTAACCTCACCAGTGGTTACCAACATGTTTGATTGACCACAATAACCCCAGCACCTAGCGCAGCAGATGCTTAATAAATACTGCTGATGGAATGGACTCCTCAGCTCTAAATGAAACAGGGTGTGAAGGGAAGGGGGCTGGTGTGACCATGGAGGGGTCCAAACAGAGTGAGTGCTTCTGGGAAGAGGTTTAAATAATGGCTCTCTACTTCCAGAAATGTTCTACTTCCATAGGCACTCACTTCCAGTTGTATGATAACAGGAAAATGTTTCATAGAACTTTTTTGTATCTCATTCGCTTTATAAAGGGAAAAGGAACTTGTAGTTTTAGTTGCTAATAGCCTGATATTTGGGAGTCTTTCTCCAAGAAAGAAAAATATTTTTCTTATAAGCCAAATTCTACCTCTGTTGAGTAGACAATGGTGAGGAAAAGCATTCTCATCTTCCAAACAGAGAAACCAAGGGCAATTTAAAAGCCAAACAAGCAAGGAAGCCAAGTCCCTAACCCTGGCTGTCTCGTTCTATATCCTGTCACCTACCAATTTAGATAGTTCCTGCTCGTGAGAAATGAAATGAGAATACATCCACCTCAACTCAACTTTGAGACAAGGATTTGATTTTTCTGAAGGACTTGTACCCTACAGGTATTAGTAGGACACAGAGAAGTCTGAGGCCTGCAACCCTTTGAAAATGTCAAATGACCTGGCATCGTGGGTGTTTGACCTGATTTGTGGAAGAAATCCAGCCATGCCTTTGACTTTTCATGCCACTGAACTTGAGGCTCTCCATGCTTTCTGGTTTTGTATCACATCTAGCTGGTGCCAAGAGGATTAGCTCGACTCCAGCTCTCCCTGGAAAGGATTCATTCTCCTGTTTAGGCAATGTGATGTCAAGCTGAAAGAAGCTGATGAGCAAACTCCATGGGGCCATAAAGCAGGCCCTGGTGAAGTGCATTACATGGATGTCTCAGAATAAAATTTAGTTCGAAGTGGTCAAGGACAGGGTGTACCATTGTGGGCTGGGAGCCACTGTGGCTCAGCTGTTTGTGCAGCATTTAATATGTTTATCTTTCTGCTAAACATATTGTTGTTGAGTCATCTCTATTACACAGACACCCTGTGTGAGGCCCAGCTCTGCAAATCCAACACACAAAGAGAGGCCTTCTATCCTCAGTGACCTTACATTCTGCAAAGTCAAAATCAGTGCTTCCTCTTACTTCTCACTTTAGTAAGGTACCCAGGCTTTAAGAAAGGTTAATCATATGTTCTTTTACAGGGCAGCAACCATGAAGTAATAAAAGTAAAGGAAGAACTTAAAGTGGTCATTATGTTTTAATATCATTTAGTAGTAGTATTGCAAACTGAAAATGGAAAGTCAGTTTACCCAAAAGTACCAGCAGCCTCCAAACTATCAATATTTCATGTTAGACTATTATTTAGTCACCAATGTCAAAGTAATTATATTAATAAGACAAATAATTGCATTAAACTTCTAAGCTTTGGTCAGGGAAAAAAAAAAGATCACATAACTCTGAAAAGTAAAGAAACTAATGAAATGCTGTTTGGCCTTCTATAGAAATTGTTCGAGCCATGACACATGTGATAAACCAAGGAATGGCGATGTATTGGGGGACCTCGCGGTGGAGTGCTATGGAGATCATGGTAATTTCATTTTTGTTTTCAAATGGCCAGTAAATACTTTATTATTGTTTTTCAGATACTATGTGTAAATTACAAGACCTTTTGCAAACTTTCCTAATAATCACCACGGCACTAGAATGCTACAATCAATTCTGTCATTCCAGAGATAGATATGGGGGCTGGATCTCATCAGCTCAGAATACAACAGGGAAGGTGCAGGTCTCTAGCAGGAATCATATTCTAGCATGTTCTTCGGTGACAAGAGGATACAATGAATTTCCCAGCTAATGAGATACATGAACAAAATAGTCTGGCTTCCTTTTTTAAAAACTGTATTAAATAACTATACTGTTTATAACACGCTAATGACACATCATTTGTCTATGTTAGTCTGAGTTTTATTTCTTTAGGAACCAAAATTATGGATATTGTCATGGGCTGTTATGGTTCTCATGTTGACTAATTTGCCCTGGACTTTACTCAATCCAGACCCTTCCAAAGAATAATAAGGATTTCCCTCATTTGATATCGCTCTTAGTGAGATTGATGGTCACAACTTTGCTTATTATTTGGCATCCTACATGTTTCTTGGTTTGTACTGATTTCATTGAAATGAAGTTTTCTCATGCATATAAATCATAGAGCAGCCTTATTTCTCATGAGTATAAATTCAGTTACAATCTTATTTCTCCCTAGGAAGCCTATTCTGTAGCAAGGCAGTTCAATATGATCCCACCGGTCTGTGAACAAGCTGAGTACCATCTTTTTCAGAGAGAGAAAGTGGAGGTTCAGCTACCAGAGCTCTACCATAAAATAGGTAATCTTCACAATCAAATTTACTGATTATTTTTAACAATAGGAGTATCAGTGATCCGGAAAAAAGTGTTACCAAGATGCTTTCCTTAATGTTCCTAATTAACATAGAGATTGTGAGAACTACCCATTTCTGACTACAGAATAATCAGATGTGCCTACAGGGTAGTCTATAGGGTATTACTGATGAAATCCAAGCAGTTGTAAACTGTGGTGTACAAGCTGTACTCAGGAGGTGTTCAAAAAATGCATGTAGAAGGAAGGGCAGAAACAATGAATAAACTCATTTTTTCCATAGGATGCTTCTCTAACCAAAGCATGCGTCTTCAAGTAGATTATAACTGCCTTTCCAAAAACAATTATGCATCTATACATCTATATCTTCTACTCTGTGCCTGGAACTAAGTTAGACATGGGGAGTTCAAGACTGCCTGACAAGCCTAGCACTACATGTCTATGTAGGTAGATGTAATAATTTCAAAGAAAGGAAAGAAATGAATATATGTATATATATGTGTGTGTGTGTATATATATGTATGTGTGTGTGTATATGCATGTGTGTGTATATATATATGTATGTGTGTGTGTATATATATATTCTTATGTATATAACATATACATAAGAATTTTGGACATACAAAAAACACGAATAGGGGCGCCTGGGTGGCTCAGTTGGTTAAGCAACTGCCTTCGGCTCAGGTCATGATCCTGGAGTCCCGGGATCGAGTCCCGCATCGGGCTCCCTGCTCAGTGGGGAGTCTGCTTCTCCCTCTGACCCTCTTCCCTCTCGTGCTCTCTATCTCTCATTCTCTCTCTCTCTCTAATAAATAAATAAATTCTAAAGAAAAAAAAAAGAAAGAAAACATTGTATACTTTAAAAAAAAAAAATGAATAAGCCACATTTTCAGCCTCATGTATCACAACAGTGTCCAGAGATAACTTTCTTCCTAAAAAACCGAGGTTCCTAAGAAATAGAGCAGGAAAATGCTGGGTAAGGAGAAAAAAGATTACAAAAGTCAACAGCAATAACCCTCATAATTGCTGGCACTAGCTATGTGTTTACTCTGCGGAAGGCATAGTGCCGCTATGGACCAGGCTCTATACAGGCACTCAGGGGACAAGTGAAACACTGAAGCATTCGCCTGTGCAAGTCAGTGTTTGTCTCTGAGTATAAAAAGAAACATCCATTTTGGACATCAGCAAATTAAGAATGAGCCACGTTTTTAGGCTTGTTTGGCTTGAAAACAAGGCCCGCTCCGTATAACTGACAGTACCTGTTCAACTGATTTATAAAAATGAAGCACAACCTATAAATAACTCAATTTTAGGGGCATCTGGGTGGCTTAGTCGGTTAAGCGTCTGTCTTCGGCTGGGGTCATGATCTCAGGGTCCTGGGATGGAGCAGGGTCCCTGCTAGCGGGGAGCTTGCTTCTCCCTCTGCCCTTCCCCACCACTAGTGATCTCTCTCTCTCAAATAGTTTTTTTTTTAATTAAATAAATAAATATTAATGGAGAGACATCTGCTGGTATTAACTTACTTATCTGACTAACTTTTCCTGTAACTAACGAAGTCCTGTTTTAAACACTCCCACACTTTTGCTCTCCCTTTGCACAAGCAACTTACTCCGTTTTTTTCTTCTGTAGGAGTTGGAGCAATGACATGGTCTCCACTTGCCTGTGGAATCATCTCAGGAAAATATGGAAATGGAGTGCCTGAGAGTTCTAGGGCCTCACTGAAGGTATTTTCCCTCACTTCTAGAAAAGCATCTGGGGATGGGAGAGAGGGACGGAAGAAGACTGAACAGGACAGCTCCGAAGCAGCCTGTGCTTCCTGGCTCAGGCAGAGCGCGGCCTTGGCCAGTGTCCTCAGGCAGGCTCCCCTAAGCCACCAGGAGACCTCTGGTCCAGGCCGGAGCAGTCAGTCAGGCATCCATAATGTCAACACAGAAAATTCTCCTCCTCTGGGGAATGGGGGGAAATGCCCAGTGCCCTGGTTAGTTTTATAGGGCTCAAATCCCTACTGTTATTTATTCTTATGTTAAAGAAGGCATTTCATCCCTCCTTGGAAATTGATGAAATGTAAAATCCCTTTTCTTTATAAGAGGATCTATTTTTACTTTTCTTGACAAAACAATTGGGGCAAACCAACTGTAGCTGAGTAGGGCTCAAGGTGGATTGATGTTGTTTACTGTGTGGGGGTGTTGGGTAAGAGGGAGGGTTCAGGAAGCAAGATACATAGCCAGGCAAGCCTGCACTCCGGCTCAAGGCTGGTGTTTTTCACAGAGATCAACTGGCCATGTAGTCTTACAGTTTAAATTCTTCTCTGAAGCATAAAGATATTTGACAACACTGACATAAAATAACTTCCATTCAGAACATCTTGATGATTAATTTATTGGAGAGTACTCCAAACAACCCTCATTAACAACCTGTTTTTAAAAACTTGAGACAATGTGTAATAACATTAGAATCACAAATGGTAATGTCAAGGGAGAGAGAATATTGGCATTTTTAAAATTCAGACATGGCAGACACCCCTAAGAAGTAGAAGTTTGACACAGCCTCTTGCTTCTATCACATCAGCACAAAGTTAGCGGGAGGACAACCCAAGTTAGGCCCAAACCACCAACCCTGTAATCAACTTGCTGGGACAACTGTGTGCTTCACTAATCAGAACCTTCTCGAGGCTCTAGGTCTCCCACTCTTTCTGTTTGTTACAGTTGACCTATTAGTTTGTTCTCTAAAATAATATAAATATCTCCTAAAGCATGGTGACATGCCTATTTCTAGCTTGGCATTATCACAAAATATAAGTATCCTAGAATATTAATTGTGGTCTTGCTTCTGAAAACTGTGCATTGTTCTGAACCAAGTTTAAATAAGTTAGAAAGGAAAAACTAAAAGCATCTTAGGGAAGAAGGTATGAACGGAGAAAGGCAAAAAGAGAATGAAGAAGAAAGGGAAGCACTAAAAACTGCGATTTTACTGAGCATCTACTATGTGCCAAGCATTGCTAAGCATTTTTATTCATCTCCTTTAATCCACACAAAGATAAATGCATACAGATGACTCTTAATCAGGTGTAGCTAAGCATGTTGCCTTACATTCTTTCAGAGACTATTTTTAAGATTTTGAGCCGGGGAGAGAGTGCGCATGCGCATGCAAGCACAAGCACACCGCGGAAGAGGGAGAAGCAGAGTCCCCGCTGAGGAGGGAGCCTCATGCAGGGCTCAATCCTAGGACCCCAGGATCATGACCTGAGCTGAAGGCAGACACTTAACTGAGCCACCCAGGCGCCCGTTCAGAGATGTTTTTAAAAAAACTCAAAGTACTTCCACATATGCTGAGTACTGACTACCCTTATAAGAGGGTAAACCTTTCCAGATGTAGAAACTGAGCACAAAGAGGTCAGATAATAATCCAAGAGCATAAACTCATAATAGAGTTTATACTAGAACTCAGGTTTCCTGGCTCTGTTTATCTCCCCCAAGACATTTTTGTCTCCTTGCACACCCAGGTTTCTAATGGAGGAAGAAGTAGCTGTACTGTATTTGGAGTGTAAGATTAGCTGACCTCCATCACTATTTGGAAAAAGCTTACAAACGGCTAAAAAAAAAAAAAACTTCACAAATGCATTAACAAAGAGAGAAAGTAAATAATAATAATAAAACAAGGAGATACAAAATACTTGAAGGTGGCTAAGTCCAAAAGCAACTCAGAAAAATATTTCTATTGTTGACTTTGATAAAGTCAACATCTATTGAAACATCCTTAACAATAAACATGAAGGGCTCTCAACAGGTTAAAGGCCTCTTTCTGATCACAAAGCAGCTTCTTTACAGCTCCACAGACTCTCAAGCCTTCCTAAATCATTAGCCTGAGTCTTTTCCATTCTAATATATGTGTACTTAGAAATGCCACTTATGGGGCACCTGGCTGGCTCAGTTAGTAGAGGATGCAGCTCTTGGTCTCAGAAGTCGTGAGTTCGAGCCCCATATTGGGCATGGAGTCAACTTAAAATGAAAAATAAAATTGCTTTTAAAAAAAGGGGGAAACTTGAATAGAGTGAAGCAAAAAAAAAAAAAAAATTAAAGATTGAAAGCTAAGCAAGAAGATAAATAAGTTAGCAGCTTTTACCTCCCCCCACCCCAAACAGAATAAATGGCTGGTGTTTCACATTAGCTATTCTAAGTTATACCAATAAAATAGACACTGACATTTCAGGCTGTTGTAAGTACTGAACTTGTATTTGAAAGACAAGGCAGTGTGAAAAATACCTATCTGGGTGGAGGTCTTTTAGAAAGTAACACAACCTGGGGGTTTTCTGGAAGGCTGCATCTGGTCTGCTGCTCTAACAGTGACTTCTAAAATCTTTTGTCACCACCTCTTCACTGCTCAGCTGTACAGTACTACTTCACGTGTCTATTAGACATCTCCCGTGGGCATTAGTCATGCCTAGTGGAATCTATCATCACCCCCCAGAACTTACCGTTCCTTCTTGGTTAACCGTTCCTCCACCCTCCATCTGGCCATCCCAGTCAGAAGCCAAGGGTTATGTCAGACTGCCTCCTCTCCTCCCTCACTCTTGTCTAGTGGGGCCCCCACTCCTCCAGGCCACTTCCTGACTCTCTGTGGCCCATCCCTGCACAGCCCTTGTTCAGTTCAGACCATCATCATTTCTTCCCTGTTTTGCTGCAAGTAACCTCCTGTCTGCATTCCCTAATTTTTTTCCCCTTTTGTCAACTACCCATCACTGCGAATTATCTTTCTGAAAGACTAATCTGACCATATCATAACCCTGCTTAAAATCTGTTATTCACTTCCCAGTCATTGCTTATAGGACAAAACCCAAAACCCACAGAAAAGCATTCAAGGAAATACCCTTGGGATATAAGTTGTGCCCACTTTTCCATTCTTGTCTTTCCCCATGTCACTGTATTGTTCATCTAAAAGCACTGTACTCTCCTTTGCCTCCCAGAAATGCCCTTTTCATCTTGTGATGGAAGCCCTCCTCATCACTAAAGACAAAGCTTGGCTATCTTCACCTCTATGAAGCCTGTCCTCACTTTATAAAACTGGATTATTTGCATCTTCCTCTATTATTCCATTAACACTTCTTACAGAGTCTTAGAATTCTCCCGTTGCAAGTGAAAGAATTTAATTCAACTAATTTAATCAAAGAAGGGGAACATATAAATACTCGCTGGAAAGGATGGAATGGAGATGGTCTCAGGGTTGACTCCAACCATAGGCTTGTACATTGTCAGGACTCTCTCCATCTCCTCTATTTCTCTCTCAATGTGGACGTTGTCTTCTACTGCAAACCGGTCCTCTCCATGAGGTCAGGAGTGGGAAAACTGCTTTTCAGGTTTACATCCTTACAGACATGTAATGTGAGAGAATAGAGAGCTGTCTTTCCTTATGACTTCAGTCCAGGGAACACTGGCCAAACTTGGGTCATGTGCCAACTTGTAAGACCAATGACAGTGACTCAAACAGTAAAGTGCTATGACCAGCTCCTGTCATGCACCACCAGGAGAGGCATTTTCCATAAGGTACAAACACGGCTTCTGAGGCAGTCATTGAGGGAGGCACCCCAACTACAAAACACTCCTCAAGCTACCAGTGATTTGTGAATGTCTCGGACACTGAAACTCAGGTAGCTCATCACAGAGCCTGGCACATGACAGGTACTCAATAAATGTTTGTTGAATGGGTGAAATGAGCCATAAGGGAAGATCAACAAAGTCTGATCAACGGACCAGGTGTGTGGCTTTTAAATAGACCTTTTAAATAGAAATGAAAAGTGCAATAAAATTTATGGGCAGCTCTTTCCTGTTGCTAGTAAAATGCCTTATAGAAAAATCATAAAAATATGTACCCCCTCTGTCAAATGAAAACAGGACAATGCAAACTTAGGTGAATCAAGGTGGGGGAAGAGTGGCAGTTCGAGTACTCCAGGTGTTCACATTAAGCAACTAAAAGTACAGCACATCACAGTGTAGTTTCAGAAGGAAATTTTTTAGCTTCAACAGTTTAAAGATCTCAACCTCAATATCAAAAGACTGTGCTGCTCTTTTGAGCCAAAGATGTTGACGTTTAAATTATAATAGTGATCTTGGATGCTAAAGCAGTCCAAGACAAAGTCCAGAGATGAAATGTGACTTATTCTGTCCATGGCTTTATAGGTGCTGCCTGAGTTTCAATCCATTAGCAGCAAACAGCCAACTGGAGGCTTCAGGGCCAGTCCTGCAGACCGCTCCTATCCCCAGCATTACCTGTACAATGGTTATAGCATTGGGAGATGGCAAATAAATAGGCTTTAGGAAAATTTAGAGAATTTTGTGACTTCTGTATAAAAACAATAGCTCCCTAATCTGTGCAGAAAAGCTCTTTTCTTTGGCAAATACTTATTGAGTATCTAGTCAGTGCTGGGCTCTGTGTTGAGTGCTGAGGATCCAGGGAAGAAGGCGACAGTCCCCACCTTCAAGGGGTAACTTGGGGGACTTGTTAGACATGTGAAGGGGTGAATTAGGAAACAGTGTGGAAACCACAAGCACTGAGGAGTCACACAGGACTATCCACAAAGTTGTACTGGAATAAAGAGGGGGTGTCTTTGCTCATCGGAAACATTGAAAAGATCTATCTTTTATCCTGTGGAGCCCTGGTTGCTCAGATTCCTCCCTCACGGTCATACTGGTGGAGCCCCTCCTCTGTGGCAAGCACTGTGTTAGGACCGGAGATGTTGAGATGAACAAGAAGCCCGTCCCTGCCCTCCTCCATTTAGTTAGATCAACACGTGACCAAATCACTGCAGCAATGGGGTAAGCAGTATAATCGGGTTGGAAGGAAAAAAGATCAGCTGACTCGTGGAGGACTGCCCAGTCAACAAGCTGGGTGTATTGTCGCACACAACCACACCCACCACCAATCATCTTACACAAAAAACACTGGTTCGCTTCCATATTTATATTTTAATTAAGCCTCATCTCCTCTCTATGCTAACATTTTCCCACTTGCAAAGCAGTTAAAGCTATTTATTTCCAAAAACACTTTTGTTTCCTTTTGTATGAGGAAAAGCAGTATAACTACTATGTGTCTACTTTTTATAAATCCTAGCCTGCTTGTTTTCCAATGATTAAAGCAACAAGATTTATAGTGTTGAGTGCAGGGAGAGTGACTCAATAAATGAATGTTTGATGTTTGTTACTTTTAGAAGTCTGTTTGTTGTGTGTGTACGTGTGTGTAAATGTGCACACACATACACACAAATTTGTAACTCGACCCTAAGAGTACAAATGCACTCCACATAAGGTTTCAAAAATGGAGTTCTATAAGTGATAAAACAACCATTCCTTATGTGTGTAGTATATATTGAAACTTCAGGAACGCTCCTAGTTACAATAAAAAGCAATCATTCGGTGATTGGTTTTTAACCCTTTTATTTTTTCCTTTGAAGAACACTCAGGGCTACTGGTCTCCTGAAAGGTGTTATGAAACTAAAGTGAGGGCTGGTAATGTTTCTCCACTGAGGACAGGGGAAGTAAGTTCAGGGGCTCTCTGACCCAGCACACAGGTCTGGTCAGGGAAGGCTCCTGGGCCCTGATGGCAGTGTTTATTGTCACAAGGCCCAACTCACCACCTCTAGCTAACCAGCTGTCGTCTCTGGAAAGGTGCTCCAGGGTACCTCTCCTCGTGGAAGAAGCTGAGGTTTCCCAGAGCTGAGGCTGGGAAGACTCTTGGCCATCTCCCTAAGCAAACTCTCAAGTGAGGAACCAGACCATAAGCCTTTGAGATCTAGACAGCAAACAGAACCGGGGCAGCTTGCCCTCTTTTTCACATCTGCAAAATCATTTCAAAAATCATAATAAAATGTAATGTGGTTACCCTTTTTCTTTGGAAATACTGTCTTAGAATGAAGAAAAAAGTACTTAAAAAACAAAAGCAGCCTTATTGAAATCATGTGGGTGGGGTGTCTGTGATGATTGCTGCCTTTGGGAAGGTAGTCTGTGGTGACAATTACTTCGCAAACACAACGGATAAAGTCCACATTGCCACACGGGAGGATGGTTTCTATTATTTTCACTAAAACACATTCTTAGAATATTTGTTACTTTTGGATGTTGCTGCTTAGTGTTTTGTAGAGAACATCCTACCGTCCCTCATTTCTTAGTAAGAGCAGAACCTTCGGGGAAGCAAGGCATTGTGAAGTTCTAAAAGATTTGTCTCCTTCTATTTAGGAAGTTAGCTCACTTTATAGGCTACCAATCAGTCTCTTAGAGGTTTTACACAAGTTTCCCATTCTGAGTTTCCTTACCTTTTAAAGTTTCAATCGCTATACAAAAAATACACTTTTGGGATAGTCTTTATCAACTTTAAAATTTTAAAAATGTACTTGTGTACCTATTAGTTATGCTTATCTGCTTTGAGGAAGGAGCTGAGAGAGCCCATAAGAAAGCCCTGCTGTGGGGCGCCTGGGTGGCTCAGTGGGTTAAGCATCTGCCTTCGGCTCAGGTCATGATCCCAGAGCCCTGGGATCGCAGCGGGCTCCCTGCTCTGCAGGGAGCCTGCTTCTCCCTCTCCCTCTGCCTGTCGCTCTGCCTACTTGTGCTCGTTCTCTATCAAATAAATAAAATCTTAAAAAGAAAACCGTGCTGTAAGAATAGGAGACTGGCGGGACACCTGGGTGGCTCAATTGGTTAAGCAGCTGCCTTTGGCTCAGGTCATGATCCCAGGGTCCTGGGATTGAGCCCCACATTGGGCTCCCTGCTCGGCAAGGAGTCTGTTTCTCCCCCTGCCCCTCACCCAGCTCGTGCATCCTCTAATAAAATCTTAAAAAAAAAAAAAAAAAATATAGGAGACTAGCAGTAAATAGAAGGCAAGAGGGAGAAGATAATTATAAAAGAATGTTAAGATAATGGCTTTCTTTGAACAGAAAGCTTGGCACCCAGCTTTCTTGACAAAAAGGAAACGTAACAGACCTTGGTGAAATGTCAAAAAAAATTTTTTTGCTACAGTCTAAAATTGGGCTATTGCAATAAGAAACGTCATTTCCTCCACTTAGCAGACTATATATAATTGACTGTATGTCAGGATTTTAATAACTTTCATACATGTTGATGGATTTGAATGGTGACTATTAGTCAAAATCAATCTGTCTTGAACCAATAAACAAGGAGTGAGACCATGGGGAACACTTCTTTGCCTAAAAGCACAGGCATCTGGTCACCACAAAACATAAGGGTTAGGGAAGAAGATGCAGGAATTCACCACGAGGGCCTATTTTACTGATTTAACAATCTTTGCCTCAAACCCTTACCCCTTACCATTAACATTTAAATGCTCTTCTTCTCCCTAGTGCTACCAGTGGCTGAAGGAAAGAATTGTAAGTGAAGAAGGCCGAAAACAGCAAAACAAACTAAAAGACCTTTCCCCAATTGCTGAGCGTCTGGGATGCACACTACCTCAGCTAGCTGTTGGTAAGAAAATTACCAGCGAGGGGAGGCTTTGCTAGATCACAGAAAATAGTTTTCACGTGCCTATCATGATAAAGTATCTAGTGTAAGGGCAGACTGATCTTTGAAGCATAAGCTCCTGGTTAATATTATCTAAAACAAAGTTTTCAAAGTTCCCTAGAATTTTCTACATGTTAAAACATTTATTTCCTTCCTCTATCCCTTAGAACACCGTTTAAATGAGGGTAAGTGAAAACACACACATCCTCATGGTGTCAGGGGTGAGCGGCCCTCAATTGTGTAGTGACATCCATTTCTTCTGGCTTAATTTTCCCTCCCTGTGGAAGCTAAGGTGGGGCTGGTGAGAGGCCAGATGCAGGGCTGGGGGCACCAGGGGCCCAAGGCTACTACCCCATGGAAGCCTATCCTAGAGGAGCAGCTTCACTCTGCAACTTCCTGAGGGGCCATGAAAAGTGCTCTTCTAACACTGTGGAGTTGAGGAACCATCATGGTCACTCGTATGGCTAAAAACCACATGTACCAGTGCTGTCCAATAGAAACAGAATGTGAACCACATATTTAAATTTTCTAGTGGCCATACTAAAAAAAAGAAAATAGGTGAACTCAATTTTAATGACGGATTTTATTTAACCCAGTAATGGCCCAAACATTATCATTTTAACACATAATGACTATAAAAAGTTATTGAGATATTTTACATTTTTTTCGTATTAAGTCTTCAAAATCCAGAATGTATTTTATACCTACAGTACATCTCAATTCACATCTCCAGAAGTCACAGATAGCTTAGAGGCTAGGTACCTAACAGAAAAGCCTGTAGACTTTCGGCTCCCTTGCTCCACAGTAGCACTTTACGCTCACGGTCTCGTTTCCTTAAGCATCAGAACAATCCCTTGAGCTGTATGCTATCACTCGCCCTACCTTACAGATGTTAAGGGAGTATTTGTGATCATTATCTCCACCTCACAAATGAAGAAACTGAAAGTTACAAAAAAAAAAAAAAATGCATGGGGTAGCTATGAGAAAAGAGTAAAATGGGTGTAGATTCTAGAAAAAAATCCCAAGGGTTAAGAAACAGCAGGAATTGGGGCTAATTCAATACAGTGAAATGAGATAAAAAACTCAAGTTCTATGAAAACAAAACAATGTGACAAATAATTGTTAGATGCCAGACCCTTCTGTGGTTGGAAGGCAGGGAATGGCTGCAGCTGGAGACAGAAACGGGAGGTAGTTGGGGAGAGGGTGAGGAATATTATCTACCCAGATACATATATCCAGGACTTGTTTTAGTCCTTCCCCCCCCAAAAAAAAAGTCAAAGAAAAATGTGACTATTAGCATCCCTATAGCTTGTTATTAACAAGCACAGTAAAAAGTATTGGCCATTTGACCATAAGCAAGTTATTTAACCTACCGATTTTCTCATCTATAAAGTATATAACACAGATCTTATAAATTTGTTGAGTAAAGGGAAACTATATATATATATATATATATATATATATATATATATATATATATATATATAAAAACAAAGAGTAAGTGTTCAGTAAGTTCAGTAAGCTGTTTGCAAGAATGAGACACCTCAGACCTACAACTCCATCCATTCCTAGCCATGGTGTGTGGTCAGCGTGACAGGCAGGGAAACATCTCTTCTTGAAATACGGTTGGTTCTAAATACGGTTTTAGGTGGTAACATGACAGTGAGTTTTGAATTTAGCTCTGAAAGAGAAGAAGTGTCCTTCTCAAGAGAAAATCCTGACCAGATTTAAACTTTCACTGGATGTTAGATATACATGAAAGACTCGTTACAGTCTAAGTTAAAACATGCTTTGATTCTCCCTTTCCTCCCTCTGTGCCCCCAAACGTCTTGCTTGCCTGTCATTTTTTTCTTTATGAACAAGTAGTTTCGCTTTTAAGCGCAGAACTCTCAAACCAAGAGGGAAATTATTTCCAGGCATATTACCTTTGATCTGCTAGAAGGAAGTAGGGGGAGGGAGGATCCTTCGGCAGGAAACAAACGGCTTGAACCCAAGTGTGGGCTGACTCCCATGTCACACACCTGCACTGTGTGTGAAAGCCAGCCTTCACACTTTGCTTCTAGGCTTTCTGGACAGGGCTGTTGCTGACACTTGCTTAGAAGCTAGAATCATCTGCCTGTGTTATCACGCTGGCCAGTTCTGCCCAGTGGGTTCTCCTATGCCCTACAGCCCATGGAGAAAACTGGCTGTTGCTGACATCAGGTAGTTTATGGGCAATAATTTTCCCAGTGTCCCGCTTTGACCTCAATACTTAACACCAGAGCCAAAAGAGTTCTCTAAGTGCAAAGCAGGAAACAATGCAGCCAGGAAAAAAAAAAAAAAAAAGTCCTGGGTCAGTTGGCGTTTTGCCTATATGGAGTATTATTTTGCCCATGTGGAAAGATTTAGTGATTGCCTCAAAAGGCCAGAGCATGGTAACAGCTTAAGAGGATCTGTTGCAGGGCCTGAGCAAACGGGGCAGAAGGAATACTTGGGGACACCCATCAATCATTCACACCTGTGTTTATCCAACAAACATGTAATAAGCACCTACTATGTGCAGGTACTGGGCTGGGTGCTGAGCATCCAAGTGCAAATAACTCCTATCTCACAGCCTGGTGGGCAAGCCAAGAAAATAAAATAGATAACTTTAATACAGTGTTGTAATAAAATAACTGAGAAGGACACAGAGGATTATGGAAGTTAAGTGAAGTGTAGAGGCTCCCAACTCAGCCTGGGATTCAGAGAAGGGCTTTGGGAGAAAGCAGTATCCATGAGTCGTCTCAAATGACCGAGGAGGGATTACTGAGGCAGAGGGACATTCCAGGCCAAGGGTACACTTGAACATAGGACTTGAGGAGAAAAACAGCATGATGTTTGGGGATGGAAAGGATTTACCAACAGTTCAGTGCTGCTGAAGCCCAAAGTTCAAGGCAGGGAGAAGACACGAAGTTGGAGAGGCAGGCTTTCTAGTAAGTTTGCCAGGATGAGAAATGAGAGCTTCATCTTATAAGACAATGATTATGTGAGATACATGTTGGAAGAACTTTTAACCAGGCATGACATGATCAGATTTGTACCTGGGAGAAGTGCTGTTCTTCTCACTCCTGTGACAGATTATGGGGGAGAAGGGGAAATCCAGTCAAGAGGTGGGAAAACCAGCTTTGCAGGAGAAAGACAGTGAGGTCCTGAATGAGGACAGTGGGCAAGTGGAACCAGAGCAGTGATTCTCCAAGTGTGGGCCACATCCACATGACAGAATGCTATCCAGCAATAACAGAAATATCTACTAATAAATGCTATTAACATGGGTGAACCTTACCAACATCATGCTGAATGAAAGAAGTCAGACACAAAGAATCCAGGTTATAGGATTCCATTTAAATTCAATGTCCAGAAGTAGTAAAATTTATAGGGGTACAAAGTAGATGAGTGGTTTCCTGGGACTGGGGGTTAGAAATGGGATTAACTGTAAATGGTGATGGATGCACATTTGATAACTTATGAAAAATCACTGAATGATTAAATGGGGAAATTTTACCCCAACAAAGTTGTTTTCAGAAAAAGCATGGTCCCTGGATCAGCAGCATTAGCAGCACCTGGACACTTGCTTGACATGCAGATCCCCCAGGCCCCGCTCTAGCCCTTCTCAGTGAGAAACTCAGGGGTGGCACCCTGTCATCGTTTCTCGAGCCCTCCAGGTGATTCTGATGCATGCTGGATCACAGAAATATTTAGGAGGAATAATCAACTAGATGTGGCAATTAAAAGGGAATGCAGGCTCAGAAAAAGGACAGTTCCTAAGGCTAACAACCTGGTTTGGGGATTAGAAGGCCAAGTTGCTGGGTGATGGCCCCAAAATGAGACTAGGAACACAAGAAAGACAGGCTTAGTAGTAAGCAGCAAGCCGTGTGCAGTGCCCGTGGGACACCTAGCAGGGTGTCCAGCAGACACTGCATCTGGGTGTCTACAGAAACCTCTAGTTGCAGACATCTACTGTAATCACAAGGAGGTTCCTAAGGAACTTGGCTTCTGGCACGGTAAGAAGGGGACTAGAGGGCAAAGGGGTCTAAACTAGCCTTTTAGAAGTTTAGAAGTTAGCTAAGCTAATTTTAGAATGGGACAAATTTGATAAAGGAGGTGGTAAGAAATTTAAAATTCAGGAGAGAAAGTGAGAAACAATGATCAATCAAGTCCAAGAAAAGGCAACAGGAATTCAATCCAGGGCAGACTTTGCCCTTGAACAGAAACCAGACACATCATCTTCTGAAACTGGAGGGTGTGGATGTGTGCTTATGGGTTATTGAGTAATATACCACCTGATGGACTTAATTTTCTACAGACGGTAGGAAGCCAGGTCATCTGCCAAGAGTGAGGGGACGGGCTGGATAGAGGGTTTAAGGGTGGAGGTTGCTAGAGAGGCAGAAGGAAAGGAGTAAAGGGTTGAAGGCTGGCAGGTTCAATCTTAGACTAGGAAGAAAGGGAAATCCTGAGTTTGACAGGTGGATAGAATCAAAGAACAAGATACCCAGGGTCTACAGGACTCTATGTAACAGATGAGGAAAAAGAGCATGAATAAGATGGAGAAAGACAGGAGACTGTGGGCCAAGATGGAAACAGGAATGCAGACGTCTGCCAGGGAGCAGGGTCAGGTGTTTTCAGGAGCAAGAATGAGGTCCTGGGGTGGACAGCTCGACTGGATACCCCAGCTGTTGAGGCAAGTCCTCATGCAGAAAGCGTGTGAGCCCTAAGCCCTCTCAACTCAAATGCATAGATTCTACTAAACCCTCTGCAGGATAGGGGTTGAGGCTGAGGTCTAGGAAGCATTGTTTATCCTCCCCGCCAAAAGTTACTAAGTTTCGGTTGCAACAGTGGTGGTTACAGGTGGTGTTCAGGAGCTACTCAATAAGCAGAAGTGTTTTGACATCCTGAACATGTGTTCTTTCTTCCCAGCATGGTGCCTGAGAAATGAGGGTGTGAGTTCCGTGCTCCTGGGGTCCTCCACTCCCGAACAACTCATTGAAAACCTCGGTGCCATTCAGGCAAGTACTACAGCCGTTCCCACCAAACTCCAGGGGTATCATGGTCCTCAGAAGATGTCCCCAGGGAACGTCCCATCTCTCTCCACCTCTGTCCTTCACTGTGTCACAGTTTCCCAAAGACTACCTGTTCCTAGATGGGGGGTGGAGAGGACGGGGGTGCAGGGGGCAAAGGCACAAGAAGGAACAGAACCTTTAGTGTACATGGATCCAGGGGTGTCCTCTTCTGAAGAGGCAATATTCTCAAAGCTCATTCTTCAGGATGGGTTGTAGGACAGTGCATTCCAAGACCCAAGCAATGTGACACTGGGCAACGGGGTTCCCAGGCCTTACCATAAAAACCTGCTTGAAATGTAATAACCACAGGACAATATATGTACATCATTTATTCATTAGTTCTTTCCCCGAATATCTGCCAACCTACATCGTGCCAACCGCTCTTCTGCTCCCACAGCATCCTGTCTTCCTCCCCCTCCATCACAGCATTTATGATCGTGTGGTAGAATTACCCATCTCCCCTGCTGGACAGGAAGCTCCCTGAGGTCAGAGACCTGTGTCTTTCTCACATCTCCACTGCTTTTCCAGTCCCCAGCATACTACATATCCCTTAGTCAGCCATCAAATACCTGTGGAATGAATGTTTCCCGCATTTGAAAGAAGAACTAGGCTCAAAATTCTATTTTGGACTTCCAGGATCACATCTTCCCTAGCTGCCAATTCAGGACTAACCACCCACTCTTTCCTCCGCACGGACAGGAACTGGTAGGAGCCTGCAGCTGTACTCCGGGGAGCCCGTAAGGGCAGTGAGAGGGGAAGTGGGATTGAGATGTTCCTGGGAGTTCCATCTGTGGAGAGGGTGGGGGCTGGCAGCTACTGTGACCATCCCCTACCCCCGACGGCCACACCTCAGTCCTGAGCCTGTCCCACTCTCAGCCTGAGGGTCCTGAGAAGGAGCCTGCCCACTACTCTTGCCACAGCCACCACCTACCAAAACCGGTATGAATGTGTATTTTCCTATTGCTCCCTGGGGAATAGAACGTCTCCCCCGCCCATCTGTCCCTGAAGCAAGCCCTGTGAACCCTCCCAAAAGGAAACACATGGACGTGGGAACAAACGTCATTAAACTTTTTAAAATGTTTAAAACCCTTTTGGCAAATAGCCCAGGATATGCTGGGATATAAATGGTGCCAACCTCCCTCCCTCCCTCCCACCATCACTTTCTTAGGGCTCTGCAGCAGGGTAATCACCTCTGCCCCTGCCACAAAGAACCCCTTGCAGGCCCCCAACTCCTCCTGGATTCTGTGGGCTTCCATCCCTGCATGGGGAATGCTCCCTCTTATGAAAACCACCCCTACCTTATTTTCACTTATGCTCTGGGAAAAGACAAGGAGGAATGACCATGGAGGAAACAGAGGTACATACAGTCTGTACACAATGGAATATCCAATGATTTCAATTCCATTCATAGTTCTTATGTATTAGACGTTTGGCACCACGCTAGGCAGAGTACTGAGAAAAAAACAGGCCTCTGCCCTCAGGAGCTCACAGGCTGGCTGAGAGTGAATTCAGAAATCTGTCTCTTAGTTCATTCACATCTTTGAGAGCCTACTACGTACGAGGCACTGGAGACACCATAGGAAAACAAGAACGATACTGTCCGAGCTTCAAGGAGTTTACATTCCAGTGGGAGAGGCACATAATAAACATGAAATAATTTCAAAATGTGAGGACTATTAAGTAACTGAAGAAGGTTCTGTGGTAGAGACTAATTGAGAAGGGGGTGGGCCTACTTTAGGTGATGTTTTTGCCCCCAGGCCTCTCTGGGATATGCATATTGTAAAGCTCAGGGAAGAGGAGAAATGTGCAACACCCAAGCATGAGCATTCCAGGCACAGTGGGGAACAGTGCAGAGGCCTGGAGAGGGGAAGGAACTTGGCTTTTTCCAGAAACCACCAGCCCAAGGCTAATGTGGCCAACATGTCGTGACCACAAGGGGTAGTGGGTGCATGGAAGTGGATGCAGGCAGGAGACAGATTTCACAGGATGCTGAACAGGTCAGTCTTGTACATGCCACAAATCCTTGGGAGCATTTTAAGAGGGACATGCTGTTATTTGAACTTTTAAAGATGGTGCTGGCTGCTGGGTAGAAAGTGGAATGAAGAAAGGCAAAGGCAGTTGCCCAAGTGACAGGAGATGGCTGGGGCTAGCGAGGATGGTAGCTGTGGTGGTGAAGTGGATGGATTCCACAGGCTTTGGACACAGACACCATGACTTGCTGGTGGCTTAGCCAAGAGGGAGAAACTGGGATTCCTATCATGCTAACAGAGTGACCATTGCCAGCCCAGGAGGAGTTACTACTACCTGGGAATGGTTTAAAAAAAAAAAAAAGTAATTCCATGGCTGGGGGAGTATTCCAGGTAGCAAAAGATTTAAAATAATTAAACTAAAAATTTTTTAAAAATTAAAAAAAAAAAAGATATATTTCAGAGGAAAACTCTGAGTCTGTCATCTTCCTAAAGCATTTGCCCCCTAGCAAGACTCAGGCTGATAGCAGGAGGGGGGGAAGAGATGCTCCAACAGTCAAGGGAAAAGGGACCATTACCCAAGCTGGGAGGCTGCTACCTTGGAGGCTTTATCATCCCCTCCCCCTTTCCACTCCTACCTCCGGCCAGCCCAGCACTGAAAATTCCACCCTAGGCAAGTTGTGACTAGGCAGCCAGGGGCACCCAGCAGTGGTGGGATTGGATGCAGGATAAAGTGTGCAGTGCCAACAGTTGTCAAAGAAAGGAAATTTCAAAGGGTCAGCTGCTCCAACGGATGGAACATGCCTAAGACATGCATAAATTGGAGGGACATAGAAATCAGAGCCTCAGTTAAGTGGGAGAGACTGGAGAGGAGAAACCACAGCTGCAGGCAGCCTGCCATCACCTGAACAGGTCCCCACCCTAAAAAACCTAAAAAGTAGACCGAAGCAATTCTCTCCCGCTCCTGAGGCTCCCCATCACCTGCTCAGAGAAATCCAGGCTTCTCAGTAGTCAGGCCCTTCTCACATCCAGGGCTCATCTCCCCTTACCACTCCTTCCCTGGTGTCCTCAGTCCACCAATTATTCCAGTCAGTAGAACAGCAGGGTTGCCAAACTGGTAGCCTGTGGGATGTTTGTGTAATCTGTAGCGGATGAAAATGTTTTACAACAGTTGCCAGCATTAAAAAATTGGGCGACTTCACATAAAATTCTGGATGTATGGCTTCTTAAAAATTTAAGTCTTACAACACTATATATACATTTTTCATGTTTTATTCAAGTAGTTTTATGGTTTCTTTTTTTAATGTTTAAATCTATCTGAAATTTACTCTGGCGTAATGAATGAAGAATTTTTTCTCCTCACACGGCTAACCCACTATATTTTAGACAAAACTTCCCACAAATCTACTTTCTAGATTTGGGTCTCTTTGTTGCAGTCTCATTTTAAAGAACATATTTCAATTCTGAGACTCCTAAGCTGGTGGGAAATTAAACTCCCCCCTTTAGCTCCGGATAGGAAACCGTTACCCAGAACTAGTTTCTCAGGCAGAATAGCTCTACTATTCTGCCAAACCCTCAGGCTTTTGAGACTAGCATTTGAGTGGAGACTAGGTCACCCGGGCCAACATGACAGCAGCAGAGGAAGGGCAAGCCTGAAACCTCAAAACCGGCCACCATCGTTGTCTTTTGCCACAGGCTCCACACAGGGTCAGTCTATTCCTGGGAAGAAGCCTGCCTTTGTCCCTTGCCTTATGGTGTAATGTGGTCCCTTCTCAGGATAAATTCTAGCCTTGGGTGAGCTCGTCCTCTCCCAAGGCTTCACTGGGCAGGCATGTCTGTGGCAAGCAATTCACAAACCCTCCACTCCAGCCCTCCTGCCGGCACCAATCCACAGCTCCACCCGGCTCCCTACAGGCCGTGCCGACACGGATATCCCCCAGGGACCTTCATCTCAACACCTACTTCAAAAACCTCTCGTACTCCACACTCCTGTGGTTCCAGGCTCAACGATCAACATCTCCATCCTTCCAGTCCTTCAGTCTTGAAATCCTCCTCAGCCTCCAAAGTCTCTCTCTCTCTCCCATCCACTCTCCTTTTCTACTCCACTGCCACTAACTAGTTACTGCTTTTATCATCTCTGGCTCCAGCAGCAAGAAATGTCTAACATCTGGGTTCCCTTTCCATCTCCTCCAAGCTACCTCCAGGTGTCTGACGGGGTTGCTCCTAGCTCAGAAGTCCTGAGAGGTTCCCCGCTGCCAAGAATCAAGTCCCAACTCCAAAGAGTGGCATTCGAGGCCTTCCATGCTGATGACCCCAACTTCCCTTTCCCCCTAATTCCTACCATCACCACCCTCTATACTTTCTTCCCTCCATCTCAGACTGCTCAGTTTTCCAAGCCAGTCCAGCTACGAGGGATGCCTGTTAACCCCTGGCCATCCTTTGCCAGGGTTGTGACCACCAGGGGCAGAGAATCTCTCCTTAGTCTCTAGACCTATGCTGTCCACAACCCTAGCCTCTAGCCACAAATGGCCTTTTGGTGCATGAAACCAGGTTATCAGAATGGAGATGTGCTCTAAGTGTTAAATGTACTGGATTTGAAAGACTTAGTACTTAAAATATGTAGGGCATTTTAATTTTCTACACTGACATGTTGAAATGTTTTAGATAAATGGAGTAAAAACATTACTTTCATGTTTCTTTTCACTTTTATGTGGCCATTAGAAAATCTGAAATTATGTGACTCACTGTATTTCTATGAGCCTTCATTTATACATTATGCCTTTATTCAGTTCAGCAATACTTCTAAGCACCAACTATGAGCCAAGCACTCTTATCACAGTAGATGCAGTGGTGAAAAAAACAAGGTCCCTGACCTCAAGGAGCTTATAGTCTAGGTGGGGGCTTACATCTAGTTGTGGTTTATAAATGTATACAAGTCTAGACGACTCTGCTTAATATTATACAATGAACAAATGATCATCAAGTACTAACCATACCCTCTGTACTTCTGCTCATCAGGTTCTCCCAAAGATGACATCACATGTGGTAAATGAGATTGATAACATATTGCGAAACAAGCCCTACAGCAAAAAGGACTACCGATCATAAGGCAGTGCATGAGCCACGGGACGTGCACGGTTCAAACTGCGGTCTCTACTGGTACAGAATGGCGTCACTAGCCAGTCTTTTGAGTCACTTAGCAGCCTGCTGCTCAACCTCTAGTATTCCCGGATTCTGAGGTATCTGCTGTCGCTACCACTGTGCACCTGAATTACAAGCACATCTGAAAACTCACAACCAAGGAAATCCATTCTATTTTCTTATCTTGGACTGGAGTCAACTATTCTTGCATTGCTCTGTACACCTCATGCTTATGCCACAGGAAGTGTATGAGGGGAGGACAATTACCTTCAGGCATTTAGTAACTTAAAGAAGGCTGTACAGATGTATTTTTCCCAAAATGCATAAAATCCACAGATGCAATGTGGATTGCATCAGAAAGAGTAGGCTACGGTCACTCAGAAGTCGTGGGAGAATAAGCAGAAACAACTTCACATTGTTTGTTTCTATTTCCACATTGAGGTTAGCTAGAGTTGTTTCACTGGTCATTCAACAAAACTAAAATTCCAAGGTATTTGCTTTCATTACCTTTTAAAAATATTCACTGTTGCTTGGCCCCAAGAATGGCCTGTATTATAATTTACCTGAGGTATCTATTAGGATTCTATTAACACTATGTCCATTCACACATTGAGATGGTGAAAGGATGAACACCCAATCGTTAACTTGAAACATTATGCCTAATTTATGAAAGGGGGGATTACACTGCTATGGAAGCTTAGGCCTTGAATAAAATGTAATATAGCTACAATTGAAGTGTTCATTTTTGACTTCATTTTATTAAAACCTGCTTTATACTTTTGACTGCTTGTAGGCACAGCTTCTGCAAGTTTAAATATTTGAGCTTTAAAAATAAATATACACATGCTCAGTTTTGTAAGTCAACCTGTAAAATACCCATAAAGGCAAATGTTTACTGTTTAATTAACACTGGGACTTTACAATAGGATGCTTGTTTTTGAGGAGTTAACATGAAAGTGAATCATGGACTTTGTGAAAAATGCTGTCACTGTTCAGCTTATGCTGGGTGAATTAACTTGCCTAGTAAAAAGCAAATGTTAAAAAATTTCCTGATTCTATAACCACATTATATGCACTAAACTAAATGCATGAGAGCTCTCTGCATGGATCAAAGGGACCTAGCCCTGTTGCACACAGAAGCTGAGGGCTAACCTTGCCACTACTGACTGGTTACCTACCCTCATGAATATTCCACTTGAAAAAAACTTTTAACAATATATTGTGTGTACCTGTAAGGAGGGAAAACTTGGTGGCGGGGGGGGTCCTATTTCTCTATTTGGATACCTGAGCATGTACAAAATACCAAAATCACTTTGAGATTTAAAGAATAGACCATCAGCTTAAAATGCTATTTTCTGCCACCATTTCCAAATACGTATTTCATGACTAAATTCTAAATCTTAAATTGTTAGTGTGAAATACCAATAAATTTTCTTTTTTGTTACTACTACCTGTATTCTAATAAGGAAACAGTTTGGGTTTTTTTGCCCAGGGGTAACAGGTTAATGATGGATCATCCTTCAGTTGTTCATTGTGTATTAAACCAGTGAACTACTGTATGCGTAAATGAGCTGAAGTTGTCTAATTGGAACTGCGATTTAACTTATTTGCTTAGAGTAATAAAAGCATTTTGTGCATTTAATCTCAATTAAAGGTTTTTATCTGATCTTTCATTATAAGGGAATATATATATATATCCACCTCCATAAAATAGGCAGTAAGAATCATCTGAATAAAAATTATGTTGGCAAGTAAGCAGCACTGAATGATACCCAACAGAAACACAGTATCAAAAGATTTCAGTAACAATCCAAACTTTTTTCTCTTATTAATGAAGAAAATGATTAACTACTAAAGATCTCTCTCATTGGGTTTTAGAAATACACTGCATGCACTAAGGCTAAAGCTTCTCAAACTCATTTAAAAACACCTGCAAATTAAAACCAAATGAAAAACATTATTGCTTACCCATGGGAACTACTTTTTTAACAGATCATCTGCCACGGTAAACATATTAGATTAGAAATGTCAGTTATATCCTTTAGAAAAATTTCCACGTACTCCCATATTCTTTTCTGGAAAGAATTTCATAGCAGAGAGCATACCATTCCGAAGGGTAACCTGGTTAGCAGTCATCCACATACTGTAATCTCGGCCAGTGGAAATGCAAACTAGATGCTGTGTGCCTGGCTTCCCACTTGAAGAACTCATCATCAATAGTATACCATTTGTCAGCAGACGTCACAGCTTCACCTTAGCCAGGGCCACCATTCCTCGGCAAGTGAGGAGACCAGGCCTAAAACCCAAGTATTCAGTGTTCCAGACCAGTGTTTTAAGGATGCATTTTATGAATTCTGTAGGTAAATTTTTAAGTTAAAAAAGCTTGGGTTAAGAATTCAAATTCAGAATTGGTTAAGAGGTGAAGGTCAGAAAAGAGATGTCCTGAAAACTCATGAAAGCCAATGAGAAGTGAGTCTCTAACCACATCCATGAAAATCTAAACCAACCACTCAAAAAATCCTCCTAATCTTCAATTCATTACCCTACCTGGGAGTCCAAAGAGGTGGGATCTAATCCCCTAGAGCCCAAACAGATGGATCTGTAGATCAGTGCTATGTCTCTGTATCCTTTATGGCTGCAGAAACAGCCGTGACTGGCACACATACTGAAAACCCAGAAGTTGGGTGGGCCGGACAGCAGAGCAGGCACATGTTGGCAAAGAGGCCTGACACGCTGCTCTGTCACATAACCATATTACGCCCATCACTGCTACAGACATCTGATCAGTAACTACAAAAATGTGCATTTACATGCGTGGGAAATTTAAATGGTAATGGCAAATACTGTAATAAAGATGACGTGCTTATTCACATGGCTCTCATAAAGATATCTAGGAAAAATATAAATTTTAAAAAACAAAGTTTAATCATACTTAATAAGACCTTTCACAAGATTTTTGAGTAGGAATCCAACCTCCATATTTCAGTGAACTTCAAACCTTGTTGTAAGTTATTCTTTCCAAGTTAGAATAATTTACCAAATAGGACAACCAATAGATTTTTACTAAGAATAATTTCAATCTAAGATTTTTATGAAGTTGTAAATGAGAAACTAAAAACAGGAAAATGTGAAATGAGCCAACACTTTAAGCCTCTACTTACCACGGGGGGGGGGTATTTAATCACTTTTAAAGATCCCCTTTTTATTTTACTGGTGTTGGATATGGGGTCTTTTTAAGATATAAATTCTGCAACAGGTTTTTACTAACTAAACCAGATGCAGCACATCATAATTCCATGTGCCACATAGCCATTTTCGATGATGGGGAGAGTTCTGGGGGAAAAGTTCTGTAATTCCCAAGTACTGGTATAGTAAATTGAGTATGAAAACTGAGTATATGCCTTACAAACTTATGCACAGAAATTCGACAGTATAGAAAGTTAGAAACCATTATCAGAACCAAAAAGTGCTCTAGGTAAAATTCAGGACCAAAATCAAAATTTTGCTTATTTGCTTTTCTACAAATTATTCAGTTTATGAATTCAAGGCACATTCTATGAAGAATAGTAAGCTGATGCCCCTTTTTCACCACTCCATCGCAGGTACGTGTATTGTTAAGAACGGTGGCAACTGCCCCACCCCCTTCAACACAGGCACTGCCATCTAGTGGCCTTTTTTTTTTTTTTTTTCCACCAACAATTAAAAAAAAACCCCAAAAAACAGAAAACACGGGGCCCAGCTCTGGCAACAAACAAATCCTGATGGTTTGTCAAATAAGTAAATGCATTTGGTACACAAACTCCATGCCACCAAACTAATGACTAGTTATTTATCTACAAAAAAAAGTTAACACAGTAAGAAAAACCTCTTACGTATTACATATTTTGCAGTGACTCTTCTTGTGACTTCCTCATTCATTATTATCCAATGATAGCACATGGACAATAATGCACCAAAGAAAAGTAAATTGCAAACTCCAGAAACAATGAGTAAATACAATCCTAAATTGAAGACACTAAACCACTATGCAAATGTGCTCTTGCCCCGGTTTCCAAGTTCTTGGGCATGCCCATAGAAGATAAACTCCTGATGAACACCTTTCTACAACGTTATAAACAAAACAGCAAATATTATTTACAACATTCACATTAAATTTGGAAGTGGAAACTAAAGTTAAGATTAGGAATTAGGAATAGGATATTTCTTTTGAAGTACTCTTTGTAGAAAATTACTGGATGTGGTCAAAAGCTAATAGGAATATGAGCCTGTATCATCTATTATTCCATAACCCTTTAAATAATACAAGCTAAAAAGCTTCCCAAACTTTTTCAAATCACGGCATGCACCAAAAAATGATAATTATCTCTGCACACATTGATTAAGAAATGCAAGACAATGTTCTTGGCTGAACCCTAGGGGCTGAAGAGGTTAATATGAAGAAATTTTGTTCACAATCAATGGGAACTTATGGGTCAAATTTGGGGCGCCTGGGTGGCTCAGGAGCTTAAGCATCTGCCTTCAGCGAAGGTCATGATTTCAGGGTCCTGGGATCGAGTCCCACGTCAGGCCCTGCACTGAGCGCCAAGTCTGTGTGAAATTCTCTCTCCCTCTGCCCCTTCCACCTGTGCTCTCTCAAACAAATAAAATCTTAAAAAAAAAAAAAAAAGGTCAAAATTTATGAAAGTCCTGATGAAAAAAGGCTGCACTAAATGCTGTACAAGCACTAAAACCACTGCAATTCCTCGGCGAGTTCTTAGAATTCTGGAACTAAGATCATAAACATTACTCTGATCTCTTACACATCAATATTCAGGAAGGAGGTTCTCTCCTGAATATTCCTCTAGTGATGTGAGACCCTAGGCAAGGAAAACAATGATTCCAGTCTCCCAAGTCAGGTCAAACCAACATGGTAGGGTTGAGCTGACCTCCCTGGCCGCCCAAGGCAGGGCTATATAGCTGAACAGTATGTGCTTTAACCCCACGGGACAACTCTCAGATGCCTGGCCACTAATTTTAGGTTATTACCCTGGCTGCCTCTCTTCTGTTAAAAAAAAAAAAAAGAAAAGAAAAGAAAACAAAAAAAAAATTTTCCACAAGTTTCTCTGCCCCAAATTGGAGACCTTGTTTTTAACTCTGAGTTATTTCAAATCACAAATTCAGAGATTTGTAAACATGAGGCTTCTGTTCAATCCCCAGGGGGAAAAGGATTCTTCATTCTGATATTTATGGTTCACAGAAGTTGTAATATTGTGGTTAGAACACAAAGAACCACCTATTAACTTCTTGCTACTATTTTAACAATAACAGCTCAGTCCAGGTTACTGTGACCTCTGACAGATCAAGGAAACAAGTTATTTTCTCCTCTTGTGATTTAAGCACATTGCAAGACACTTTTTACCTTTTAAAAAATGTCCTGGCACTCTGAGTTTCCCTTTCAATTCATTTAATTTCAACAATCTGTCAAAAAAGAGCCAATAAACAAATACTGAATTACATTTTGTTGGGTTTTTCAAACCCTCCAACTGAAGACTATAAAAACATCTTGTGTGTCTCTCACCCTGACCACCCTGCTGCGTTTCCATATACCACAGGCCACCCGTAGATACAAAGCCAGGGGGCAAAGCCGGCACGGTCTACTTGGAGCCAGTAGACAGGAGGGCAATGAGGCCTGATGAAGCACTTATGGATAAAATATAGTTCCTGTAAAAATTTAATGTTAAGGAAAAATTAAAAGCCCAAAAGTAGTTCAACAAAATAAAAAGAGCCCATCTCTTTGGAATGCAGTTTCCTGTCTGACACTGTAAAATGACAATGATATGCAGTCCCATCGTCTGCAAATGCAATTAACAAGACAGAAGGCTATGAAGAATGAAGAGCATTCACAGGAAATGTGTTCCAATTTTAAAAACACTTGAGACAGAAACCTAGAACACATGATCATAAAGAAGACATCTGAATTCCATTTAACCTAAAAGAGAAGAGCTAATCAAGATTATGAACAGGAAGAAGAAACTTAGCTTCCCTGCCTCCAGCCAAGAGCAAAGGAAAAGTAAGTCTCCCCTGTCCATCAGTGTTTTGGCTACAGTTGGCCTGTAAAAGGAGGCTCTGAAAGTTCACAGCTACTCTCAGCCTCAGAATGGGACTGTTTTGGACAAACCACTCTAGTATTCCCAGAAGACACAAGTTGGAGGAGTCTGCTATTTTATTACATAAAATCTCCACTTAAATGTATGGCTGCACATCCCTAACACCTTTAATTAAAATTACCTAAAAAGAGAAGACTGATTCTTGCCCAAAAGCTCAATTTAAGAGCAGCTTGAAACACTGTTAAGACATTATGAAATGTGCCTATTTAACTACACTGGCTATCCACCCAATTCCAAAGCAGACACATGGGCTTATGCCAGGAGCTATCAAAGAAGGCAAGTTGCTTTTGATCCTCAGAACTTATTTTTAAATAGGAAGATATACAGGATCATATATGTAAGAGTGCTTTGTAATACTTGTTATTTATCATGAAGTTATAATTTATAAACTTCAAAGAACGTTAAGTCAAACCCAAAGCCCTTATTTAAAATGTCCAGAAACTTGCCTGAGGTCACAGTGCTATTTAGTGAACTGATTCCCCGGGCAGTTTTCTTCACAGTAAAATACCTGGGATAAATCAAAAACCAAAACAAACTCTTGATTCTAGACTTTGAAAAATGCTAATCAACCTTTAAAAGGATACACTGTAGGGTTGAAGTTCTTCAATATAAAGAAGGAAGCAACAATGACCAAGACCAGGAATAGGGTGTTGTTATAGAAGATGGAAAATGTTGTAGCTTCATAATCAGCAACTTCGTTCTTCTTCCACAAGATTCTGTAGACAAATTGATCAAGTTTATAAATATGTATTAAAATATTTTAAATACCACATGGCTCTAGTCCACTATAAGGTTTTTCCTTATGTATTCTGGACAGAATGTGTTTTTAACATTAAATTTAATCAGCACTGTGCCCTTTTTTCCTGCTGAAAAAGATATTTTACTCTATTGATAAAAATAGCTGCTCAGTATATTACCTTTTTTCCCAGGCAGTCAGGGCTTTGGAGGAAGGGACAGATTAATTGCAATTGGCTTGGCTTCATCAGCAGCCTAAAGAGACATCGTTCTCTAGGCCCTCACCTAAAACAAACTCCATGATCAGTATTCACATGAAGCTTTCCTGGCTGTTTGCTGGCTTGAGGCTCTCAACAGCCTCCAGATCTCAGCCTTCAATATTACACCTGAAGACAATCCCAAAAACAAAACCTAGCCGTGGCTCACAGAAGCAGACTTGTCTGCAACTATCTTTAGCCACCTTTACATAATTCAAACAAAAAATGTGCTTCAACATTAGGAGGATTTTTTAACTTCTGTAAAACCCATTTACTTTTTATTTAATCCATTTTACTCATTATGTTTTATTAACTAAAACTTTATCAGCCTTTTACCTCTTCACACGGGCAGCAGGAAGTTCCAGGGTGCCTGTGAATAAGGTAGCCTTTTTTATTCCATTTGATTAATTAACTTCGTAAGGCAGTTTTTAAAAGAGTAGGTTGTGACCCACTAGCGGGACGTGAAATCAATTGGGTAGATTCAACACTCAGGGAAAGTAACTGAGTGGAATGAGACCAGCATTTTTTTTAAATAGAAAAATATTGAGGATGCCTGGGTGGCTCAGGTCGTGATCCCAGGGTCCTAGGATCGAGCCCCACATTGGGCTCCCGGCTGGCTCGGTGGGGAGTCTGCTTCTTCCTCTGCCTGGCGCTCCCCCTGCTTACGCGCTTGCGCTCTCTCTGACAAACAAACAAAATCTTAAAAAAAGAAAAGAAAAATATCAAGTGTATCACCCACAGCAGGATAATTATTGTTTTGGGAAACATTTGCATGTGTGCATGTTTGAGTGTATTTGGTCGAAAGGTGAAGTACTTTACTGTAGATTATCAAAAAGGTTGAAAGCCATAACCACTGATGCTTTGTCCTCCCCAAAGATACACTACCCTGAGGCCAGATGATCCCCTCCACCAATCCTAAGGACAGCACTATGGCTAATGTCATTGGCAACTGCTACATTTTATTCACCACATGTTTTAATCCAAAGTCAACAAGCTTGACTGTAAAGGAGCTAAATGAAATGAACTTAACTTCATCACAAGAAGTTTGTGTTCTCTTGGGCGCCTGGGTGGCTCAGTTGGTTAAGCGACTGCCTTCAGCTCAGGTCATGATCCTGGAGTCCTGGGATCGAGTCCCGCATCAGGCTCCCTGCTCAGCGGGGAGTCTGCTTCTCCCTCTGACCCTCTTCCCTCTCGTGCTCTCTATCTCTCATTCTCTCTCTCTCAAATAAATAAAAAAAAAAAAAAAAAAATTTTTAAAAAAAAAAAAAAGAAGTTTGTGTTCTCTAATATAAATGCCATAGGTCCTTGATTCTATGGATACCATCAACTTAATAAAACTTCTATTTACTGTAAGTTTGGGAGAAGTAAAAGATACTATATTAAATGCAGCCATCAACTATAAAACAGCTCCTGATGTAAGAGAAGTTTAAATGTAAATTTAGAAAACATGTGACTTGGAATTGGAGGAAATGAAAAAAATACATTATACCAGTTTAACACTGATCAAAGAAAACACCATCTCAAAAAAGATGCATAGCCCCAACATGGTTCAATGCTAGAAAACATTCAGAACTAAGTGTCTCTGTTTTTAAGACTCTGGTACAAGATCCAGTGGAGACAGGTTCCTTAAACAGGCTATTAGCATGCCTCCATTATGGTTGCTTAGATTATCCCACCTCCATAGGAGCACTTCTCCCTAACTCAAAACAGTTGTGATGAAAAAAGTGGCTCAATCCTTTAGGTGACCCCAGCTCCCAATATGACCAAGTGTTACATCAATGTATACACAGGACTATCTTGGACAGCTTTCAGAATTTTCTCTAGCCCAACCATATCCTGGTTCATTTAGAAAAAAATGAAGATCCCCAAATGCCCTCATCAGCAATAGTTCTGCCAAAGCTTCACTGGTAAGAAATCTAGTTTGGGAGAGCACGCCCAAGGAGTCATTTTTCCAAGGAGCATTTCCTACAGGGTAAAGACTGAGACCAAACTCAAGAACTGTTATAATCACATTAATACTAAATGACAGACCATTGGTAAGTCAAGAAGAAATAACACTCACACCCTGGGATAAATATTAATGACTCTCTGATTTTCCTCAGCTAATTTCCAACCCTGAATGGAGGGCAAAGCAGTTTCAAAGTCGCATGGGGCACATATTCCAAATGATTGTAGGTGGGAGCTTTGAGACATATGTATCTAGGCAAAGAGGTGTTGATAAGCCTTTTCTTAAATCTCTTGAAGCAACTCTTTTGAGGGAGAAAAATACTAGATTTTTTTTTTTTTGTAAACACTAGATCTTAATGAGAGTCTTAATCCCAGTTGAGTCGATCATGAGTATACACCCGGATACAACTTTATCCAGTGTGGTTTTTGTGAAATATTAACAGCACAAACTTCTGATGACAAGAAGAGAAATTTTATCATCTTCTGACACTCTACATTTTATGTATTCACAAAACCTACACTTCATTCTCCTTTGAAATACTGATTCAGCCAATGGCAAAGACATTTCATTTCCAATTCCAACTCTGATCCAGTAGTAGCGACTACCTGAATACCATGCTGAGAAAAATCCTGAGACATATCCCAGAATCAAGAACATGTGCCAGACCAAATCAGGCAAGTCTGCAGTGGGCAGAGGAGACCCATTTGCCATCTCTGCTACAATTCATCACCTAAAACCTACAGAGCTGTAACAAGCATTTTGAAACTGTGTAACTGTGATGTACACTCCAATTTAAGAACCACTTTTCTAATAAATACTATAATTTAGTAAAAAGATTTTTTTTTTTTAAGATTTTATTTGACAGAGAGAGACACAAGCAGGGGGAGTGGAAGAGGGAGAAGCAGGCTTCCCGCAGAGTGGGGAGCCCGATGCGAGGCTCGATCCCAGGCCCCTGGGATCATGACCTGAGCCGAAGGCAGATGCTTAACGACTGAGCTACCCAGGCGCCCAGTAAAAAGATTTTTTTAAAAAAATGTCCTAGATTCCCTATCTCTATCACCATGCAAAAATTTACAATCAGGAAGCTATGCAACCAGACCTCATTAAAGCTGCCTTCACTGTCACTATTTTAATATTGTACCCTTCAGGAAACACCTGGCTGGCTCAGTCGGTAGAGCATGCAACTCTTGATCTCTGGGTGGTGAGTTCAAGCCCCACACTAGGTGCAGAGATTACTTAAAAAAATAAAATCTTAAAAAAATATTGTATCCTTCAGTTTTTATAAAGGATCCACAGGAGATCACCATTTCTATAATGTTTTAGTGCCTTTTCAAAACCACTGCAGAAGACATTGTTTATTAAGTTACTCAGTGTCCCTTAAATAAGGATCCACTTGATAAAGTCCTTCCAAGATTCAGTGCCAGGAAAGTTTCTTTTCAGAAGGACTTACATGCTGCTTCTCATCAGACAATGAAAGTGTGTGACCTCAGATGCTTCCCCTGACACTTGGAAGCTCAGTTAAGTTCAATGCTCAACTGCTGTAACTAACTCTGAGTTCTTGTTCACCCAGCTTTTCTTACTTTTAAAGGTTTCTGATCTTTCAAAATTGTACTGCTTTATTTCATATGCACTTTAATATGGCAAGTCTCCACAAAGTCTTTCTGGAGGCAAAGTGGGTTAAAAATTCCATTTCACAAAGCACTTTGTAGATACTAAAACTTAAGATCTATGAAAACAACCTCAACTCGTGACTGTATTAAACCCACATAACAACTCTAAGGCACGGGTTTATTCAATCATTCAGAGACTTCTGCTACTCAGATATTAGACTATTAAGCCTTCTAAGAGCATCTGGCAGGAAAAATTGAGGGGTAAGGGCTAACAAATGTGGCACAGATTTGGGCAACAGGAGAGAAACCAAGTTGTTTTCTTTTTCCCAACCGACACAGATAACCAAGAACTGGCTGTCCTTAGGGAAGCTCCGGAATGGAAATACCACCACCTAAAAATGCTAACACCAACACAATATAAACTCTTCAGACCCAGAGGGGTGAGGTGATATGCTCAAGGCTGCACAGCTATCAAGTGGCAGAGCCAGCACTGGATAAAGTTCTGCAGACTCCTAACTCCAGGACAGCATTTAAGGAGGACAAGTTCTCGAGCCATACTGCCCGAGTTCTTATTGTGGATTGACCAACGCCCAGGAATCGATGCCCTTGGGCAAGTTACCCAAGCTTTCTGTACCTCAGTTTCTTCAGATGTAAACTGGAAATATTAGCCCTACCTCAGAGAGCTCTTTAAAGAAACAAATAAATGAACTGTGTGTAACACAAAGAAAAGCATCTGGTGGTGGTAAAAACTCAAAATGCCAGTGTGACTGTTATTCCCATTACTATGTCTTCTACAATATCAACATTTAACCTCAGGCAATTCCATTATTCACATTCTCCAGGCAGAAACCAAAAACTTAATTTTCTACAAAGTATTGCGTTTTTTGATTATCACTAACACTTTAGAAGTCCAACCTTTCATCCTTTTCCTTTCGAGACATCTTTCTGTTATCAGCTTCAGAAAGTTTTCGAGTCACTTCTTTGGAAACAGCATCCTCCCTCTTCTGTGCTACTCTGGGGAAAAAAAAGAAAAAAAAAGTTTCCACATGCTCCATGAATGAATATCACACTATCTGAAACACTCTGTACTCATATTTTGTATTGGCAACTATATGATACTTTACATTTCAAGAAATAATCTTGACAGAAAATTCCAAGTTTATTATACTGTAATAGCCAAAAGAGAGTTCAAGAACTTCCAAGATGGAGTTTATTAGTTATAAGCTTTGACTTCTGCTTAAAAGGGGTAATCTTCCAAAGTTTTAGGTATTTAATATGGAAAAAAGTCAAATGCTTTTAGCACAGCTTAGTTATAAATCATTTTAACTCCATTTTGTTTTAGCCTAGTTGTTTCTATAAATAAATTTGATAAGGCATTGGCAAATGATATAGGATCTCAATTCCAGTAAATAAAAGTAAACTAGACTTAAAAAACAAAAGGGGAGGGACACCTGGTTGGCTCAGTCGGTTAAGCATCTGCCTTCGGCTCAGGTTATGATCCCAGGGTTCTGGGATCGAGTCCCGCATCAGGCTCCTTCCTCAGTGGGCAGCCTGCTTCTCCCTCTGCCTGCCGCTCCCCCTGCTTGCACACGCGTGCACACGCTCTCTCTGGTAAATAAATCTTTATTTTAAAAAAAGGGAATTGTTGGCAAGGATGCGGAGAAAGGGGAACCCTCCTACACTGTTGGTGGGAATGCAAGCTGGTGCAGCCACTCTGGAAAACAGTATGGAGGTTCCTCAAAAAGTTGAAAACAGAGCTACCCTACAACCCAGCAATTGCACTACTGGGTATTTACCCCATAGAAACAAATGTAGTGATCCTAAGGGGAGCACCCCCCAATGTTTACAGCAGCAATGTCCACAACAGCCAAACTATGGAAAGAGCCCAGATGTCCATCAACAGATAAATGGATAAAGGTGTGGTGTGTCTATATATACACAATGGAATGTTACGCAGCCATCAAAAAAAAAAAAAAAATGAAATCTTGCCATTTGCAATGACGTAGATGGAACTAGAGGGTATTATGCTAAATGAAATAAGTCAATCAGAGAAAGACAAGTTTCATATGATCTCACTGATATGTGGAATTTAAGAAACAAAACAGAATCATACGGGAAGAGAGAAAAAAATAAAGTAAGACGAAACCATTGAGGGAGACAAACCATAAGACTCTTAATCACAGGAAACAAACTGAGGGTTGCTGGAGGGGAGGGGGACAAGGGATGGGGTGGCTGGGTGATAGACATTGGGGAGGGCATGTGATGTAATGAGCACTGGGTATAAGACTGATGAATCACAGGCCTGTACCTCTGAAACCAATAATACACTATATGTTAATTGAATTTAAATAAAATGTTTAAAAAAAATTAAAGCAGAATCAAAAAAATAAAATAAAAATAAAAAGGGAATTAACAGCTGTAACATATTAAAGTAATACTTTAACCCCACTCAAAGAACAATTTCACTAAAAATAAATAATACCACAGGTCAGGGATCAACCGTACCACTTTTAACTAAATGAACCACTGTATGGAATCAGCCAGAAAAACTAAAAGTGTTATTCAAGATACCAGATCAGAATCTTCAGTGATCAAATAAAAAAAAAAAAAAATGTATATTCATCAGAAAATCTATAAGGTGAATTTTATCAGATGAGATTGCTAGTGAAAGAGAGGATAAAATTTAACCTACGACAAAATATAAAAAGCCTCCCAAAGTTCATGACATTTAAATTCAACATGGTGTATTTTTCATAATATAGGAGAAGAGACTGGTTAGCCATTATAGAAGAAAAATAACAGATATAAGCAAAATCTAGCAATTATCTACACAGTCCCACTATGAAAATGTTCAACACAATGTTGAGATATATTAAAAGCAACAAAATATGGAACGTGGAAATCTGTTCACTCTATGTTCAATTAATTAATCCCTCATTACTATGCTGTATTTAGTTTTGGTCAGCGTACCAAGGAAAGGTGTGGAGAAATCAGGATAGATTCCTGAAAAGAAAGCCCAAGATCATTCAAGTCAGTAGTTTTCAACCTTTCTTTAACCACAAGAGCTTCTGGGATGCAAATTAAACACAAATTCCCAAAGATCCAACTTTGATTCATTTTATTATGTAAAAGTTCTGTTCTTAAGGGCAGAGACTCTTATTTCTGAACCTCTCTAGCAGACCAGGCACTCAAAGGTTTCTTGAACTTAGTATAAGACCACTTTTTTCTAAGAAAGGCCAGCTGATAAGAAAAGAATGTGGTTTATAGCAGAAACATTTCTGAGCTGAACAGAGGGGAAAAAATATACATATATACACACACCCCCACAGCCCGTCAGAATGGTAGGACAGAGGAACAAACTATTTTTAAAAGAGTTGGCTATCTCCAAGTATCTTTAAGACAAATAGTCAATCATCTGTTCACAGGACAAATCTTCCTGAAGAGACCAAACCAGATTAACTAGTTAATTTCTCTTCTAGATCTAAAATTCTATCTTCACCTAACAGACCCATAACAACCTGTCAGGTTTATTACAACTTAACAAGTCCTACCCTCTTAGGGCTCTTAAGTAAGTCTCAGTGCTGAATGCTCTAAAACAAGACAAAGGTTACTCCAGTGGCCCAGCACTCAGCCAAATAAGATAACCCACAAAATCAGCTGTTTATCTTCTATTATTTTTTTAACGTATTTCAGAAACTTTCCAGAAAAAAGAAAAATACCATCTATTTAATTTCTCTCTCTTTTTAAGATTGTAGTTATTTATTTGAGAGAGAGAGAAACACCATGAGAGGGGAGAGGGTCAGAGGGAGAAGCACGTTCCCCGCTGAACCGGGAGCCCGTTGCTGGACTGATCCCAGGACTCTGGGACCATGACCTGAGCTGAAGGCAGTTACTTAACAAAGTGAGCCATCCAGGCACCCCCATCTATTTAATTTCTTAAAGAAAAACATTTTTTAAAAGTCGTGCAACCTTAAAAAAATTCTTACGGGTTCTCTCACCCCCAGTGTCTCCAACACTGCACATAAACATTATGTGCCAGACACTATGCTTAACATGTCACCCATATTATCTTATTTAATCCTCACCATCTATGAGGTACCATTAGTATCCCCACTTTACAGCTCAGAAATGTGACGTCTAAAAAGATGAAACGTGTGCCCAAAGCTATATATTTAAGCAAAGCAGAGCTGGGACTGGAATCCAGACTGTCACCACATAAGCCAACTTCCCTCTATGAACACCTACCCATACTCTTGCATCTTCCTGAGTCTTTGAGCTTTAACACACCTTGTAAATATGTAGAAGCTTCGATGAGTGGCAGTATTTAATATTAAATCAAAACTAAGATTTAAAAAAAAACAATTCCACTCTGAGAGAACCTATTAAATCAAGTCAGTAAGTAACTGAAATAACTAAATGTACCGTTAACTGTTGTGAGGGACAAAAGACATGGCAGTGGCCCTCAAGAAGCCTAGAGTAGAAATGAGAAGGTAAAAAACCGTAATTTTAATTCCAAAAAGGTTAACGAAAAATAATATGCAGAAAAGTCAAAAAACGTCCAAGTCTCAAAGGGAGTGAGTTCCGAGGATATCACAAAGGATGGGTCGTACAAGGTGCCCACATCTGAGGTCTTCACTATCCACAGGTGGCCACACCTCACAAGAAAGCTAGCCCAGAACAGGAAAGTCCAAGACAGGCCGAAACCGGAATGGCAGTTGGTGAAGAGGGCTGCCAAGCAGAAAGACGATAAAGATCATTCTGCTGGTCTAGCAGAAAGGCAGTCCACACAAACCTGAGCTCTGAAGAGTCCAAGACAACAGCAGAGAAGATGCTGAGGCCACTTTCAGCCACTGAGGCCATTTCTGGTCTTCAATAAATCCCTGTTAGCTAAGATCATCTCACCATGTTTCTTCTTTTAAAGATCTATGTATTTGAGAGAGAGCGAGCACATGCGAGCGGGGGAAGGGACAAAGGGAGAAAATACCCCAGTGGACTCCAACTGAATGTGGAGCCTGACACGGGCTCACAGGATCCTGAGACTGTGACCTGAGCCAAAACCCAGAGTTGGCCACCTAACCAACTGCACCACCCAGGTGCCCTTCATCTCAACATGTTTCTATTCCCTGTCACCACACAGAGCCTAACACAGAAACAACAAACTTAGAAAGGATTTATATAATCTGTAACCTTAGAGGAAATACAAAAATCTTTTACATTTTTACACACTTATAAAAAAATGTAATTAGCATTAAAAATGTCAGTTAAAAAAAAAAAAAGACTACTTATTTCATGTCCGAGAATAGTACATGGAGAACCAGAACTGTTCTTTCCAGGAAGAATTTCATTTGGCTTCAGCTATGTTAATTTACTTGGTGGTTTGTTTTTCTGATAAACCCCATGATAAAGGCTAGTGCTCAACTGTTCTAATTTCACCCTCAAAACCTACTTCTATAAGTGTCAGAAGCACTGTCTCTGCTTCACTTAGTTAATAATTCTTTATAGCATTAATACGCCTATATACGTATACAGATCAAACTGATACTTATTGAAAACAAGACACACAAATGGTCTTTAAGACATCCTTCTATATAAAAGTGTAACATGTAATACATACTTTGCTTGAGAAATATACTTACTTGTGTTTGAGAACAAATTTCACATTTTTGTATGCAAAGGCTACCAAGTAAGTGCTTACTAGGGTCATCACACTGTAGAGAACAGCAGACTGAATAAGATCCATATGCCATATTCGCCAATATAACCCTGAATTAAGATAGAAGGGGGAGAGGAGGATACCAAAAGGAACAAAACATTACCACCCAGTTACAAAGGCATGATCAATTAATTGTAGCTAAGCCTATAAAATACAGTCCAGGTTAGAAAATCTAACACATTATAAGAGGATCTTCAGAAGTGATAAAGTTACAGTCTCAAACTTCCCCAGCTCAGAAAACTTGAAAAACAGAAACTTCCCATTACTAGTCCAGATAAGATTTCTGCTTCTTCTAAAATGACAATAAACTCTGAATCCCCCCACCCCGCCAAAAAAATCAGTTCAGACTTCAAGTTTCATTCATCAGGGTACTAGTAAGCTAAGTACAGGCTGTTGCACAGCCATGTGCAGTCCCAAGCCATAGTTTACATGCTGACGTGGCTATCTGAAATCAACGGCCAGTGAGGTTTTAAAAGGCCAAAAGAAAATGAATCTCGACTTAACTGCCCAACAAACGTGCCAGCAGTGTGAGGCAGGAGATTCAAATTCAGGAAACCTGAGCTATAACAACTTTGCTCAAGTCTGCAAAGTTCCTCCATCCAAATGAGAATTCTAGAATTATCCTAATATCATTGAAGAGTTTAAACAAGTGAGAGCGCCGGCTCTTGGCACCGGTGCAACCTCTCTCATCAAATTAGGAAAACAATGTTCAGCAGTGTGAAGTGCTTCACCTAAAGCTACACTTCTAATTCAGTTCGAGGGTTAATGGGAATTGGACTCTGGCCTAATTCATTAGTTTTTCCAAAATAAGTAAACGATAAAGTTTTAAAGCTGGTAATGGCAAACAATTGTGGGTAAAACCCCAGCAGATTACATATGCATGAGTGTTAGCACAAAATCTTAACCCGATTGTTTGCAGATTAGGAGCCGCCATCCCAGAACTAGGAAATCACAATCTCTCGGAGTGGGGCCACAAGTGAGTTTCCCGTGATGCCGCCCACCACTATTCCCGTTGAGCACACTGAAGCCCACAGAAGCGAGGTGCTATCCCCGTGCTCAGAACGAGTTGGGGACAGCCGCGGGCCGACGGCCCCAGCGCTAACTCCCGCCAGTCGGCCGGGCCCTGCCACGTCCCCGCCCAGCTCGGCCCGCCGGCGTCCTCCGCGGCCAGCCTGCTCCCGGCGCTCACAGATGGGGATGGCGGACACGATGAAGGCATTCCCGAAGAAGAGCGCGGAGGACTTGGCCGAGAGGTTGCGGCTGAAATCCTGCAGAAGCAAATCCTCTTCGGACTGCTGCTTGGAGCCGCCTTTGGGAGCCATGATGGAGCGGAGCCTCGAGCCTGGACAAGGCCGAGCTAGCTAAACGCCGCTGGTACTACCCCCGCGGCCGCCGTATCCACTAATGACCCGTCAGCTCTACGCGCGGAGGCGGGACTCGGCGCGGCGCGGGAGCAAGCTTGCCCAGGATTGGCCCCCGCTATGTACGTTTCCCGGCGTGATTCGGCAAACCGGCCACACTTCCGGGTTCCTGGCCAGCCCCTTGGCTAGTGGGCTTCAAGAAGGCGGGGATTTGTACTTTCGTGGATGCTTTTTTTTTTAATAAAGAAAACTTTATTGACATTCCACTTCACAGGTGCCATCACGCTTTCCAAGTCGTTGGCATTCCAAAATAGGAAGCTGTTCTGGGCTCGAGTCATTCAGTCGGTCATTCAACGAGAGTACGATTAATATCCTCTGCGTGTACCCAGCACTGGGGCATCTGAGGAGGAAGTGAAGAAAAGTGTAGCTAAACAAGCCCGTGTAAAGTCCTTTCTTCTTTACACATCCATTATCGCATTAAATATCCTCGAAATCCTTTGAGATGTGCATCGTTGTCCCCATTTTGTAGATGAAAACCCTGAGGGCGAGAGCCCAGCCGTGCTAGTGTACAGGGCGTTGACTGTTTTCAACAAAATAACAGTCTACCTTTTCAAGAAAACGAAGGCACTTTGGCTTTTAAGGAGCTCTGGTCTAATTGATGAATATTTAACATGAGTCTAATACATTTACAAATCACAATTACTTTATTTCAACTCAATCTTTAGAGTAATGTGGACTCCACAGCCATGCTAAAAAAGCATAATACTAAGTAAAAAGAACATGTGGGCTAGACAGCCCTCAGAAGCTCAGAAAATTCAATATGCCTATTAAAACAAGTATATATAATTCTTAACTCATTGCATTATCACTTTTTCTTAAAAAAAAAAATACTCAACCACTTCATTCATAACAAAAACTTCTTTCATCTACATTACTGGCATCAGGCAAACTTCTCCAAACTTCAGCTTCCCTATCAACAGATTAGTAGAGTTTTCATCTTAATTTCATCCAAATTGCAGGGCGCCTGGGTGGCTCAGTTGGTTAAGCGACTGCCTTCGACTTAGGTCATGATCCTGGAGTCCCAGGATCGAGTACTGCATGGGGCTCCCTGCTCGGCAGGGAGTCTGCTTCTCCCTCTGACCCTATCCCCTCTCATGTGCTCTCTCTCTCTCAAATAAATAAATAAAATCTTAAAAAAATTTTCATCCAAATTGCAATTGACTTCCAGTGTTTCCATTCTAATGGAGCTTTCTGTCCACAACTTTTCAGTCTATTCTCTATATAGTGTTCCTGAAATATGTCTTTCATATAAATGCCAGAAGTCTTTATCAATAACAGCAAAATGAGAAAGAATAGACTAGTGATTCTTTTCCAGAAACTTAAGTATTCATTTAAAAATATCTGCAATACGTCCTTTTAAAATGGTACAATGCTCTTTTATTATGCAATGGTGGTGAGAGAGAAGAAACTCTTACTTTCTCTTCCAACATACTCCCCTCTCAGTTTTTTCTATGGTAGATCACACCATTTTTTACCCATTTGTTCAGACCACAATGCTAGTTGTCAACACTAATGCCTTTCTTTCCCTCTCCATCTGTGACCAATTCATCAGCAAAACCTTTTGGATCTGTCTTTATACCTAGATTTCTTGTTTACTCTTTACAAACCAAGGATATAAAAAGATAAAATCAGAAAACTGTAAGATCAAAAGGGACAAAAATCGAGATAGTTAAAAATAAGGAACAATGATGAAAGAATTATACCTGAGAAAAGTGTTTAAACAAAATAGCAAAGATAAAAGTTTGAAATGTTGAGTGTAGATTATAAAAACATTAAAATCGAAATGATCAAAGGAGGTAGCTTTGCAAACCAAGAATAAAAACTAAAAATAAAGGTAGGGGCACTTGGGTGGTTCAGTCGTTAAGCGTCTGCCTTCGGCTCAGGTCATGATCCCAGGGTCCTGGGATGGAGCCCTGCATGGAGCCCTGCATGGAGCTCCCTCGTCAGCGGGAAGCCTGCTTCTCCCTCTCCCACTCCCCCTGCTTGTGTCCCCTCTCTCGCTGTGTCTGTCTCTCTCTGTCAAATAAATAAAATCTTAAAAAAAAAAAGACATTAAAGATAAACAGAAGAGAATCTAAAATAGTAGGAATTTAATTTTTTATAGGGTAAGATAAAGAAATATGTAACCAATGATGTTAACAACAGAGGTTTTTTGGTGATGGTAACAATGAAGACATGAAGATAGCACACCAGAAATACTAGAACAGTGTTTTCTTATACCAAATGCAATCTAGTTCCTTTTGAAGAATCACAGAATCTAAGGATCATCTATATGTGGCATATGTGGCCACGGAACATTAGACAAGCAGGGTAAAAGGTGTGCTGAGAAAACAGAAGGAAGGGTAGGCAATAGATTCTATGCAAAGACTGCAATATATTTTGGCTATTTCAATATAGTTCAACTCTGTGAAGGAACCAGATGGACTTGAGTCCATCCCAGCTTGATTCTGATCTGTGAATTTAAGGCTTAACATTTCCATCACTTCATACCTAGATTGGGGAAAAAAAGGGGGGAGGGGAGATTTAAAGAAATAATATTTATTACTGGCAGGGACAAGGATAACAAATTTCTCTCATCCACTGCTGATGGCTTTGTGGAAGAAAATCCAACAGGTTAAAAATTAATACACCTTTCTTGTGACACACACTGCAAATTGCCTAGCCAGTAAAGACAAACACAGCTTTTTACTGGGACCCTATGAAAAATAACAGATGAGGGCATCTGGGTGGCTTAGCCGGATAAGTGTCTGCCTTCAGCGCAGGTTATGATCCCAGGGTCCTGGGATGGAGTCCCCCAATGAGCTCCCTGCTCAGCTGGGAGTCTGCTCTTCCCTCTCCCTCTGCCCCTCCCCCAGCTTGTGCTTGGTCTCTCTCTCTCAAATAAATAAAATCTTTAAAAAGTAAAGAAAAGAAAAATAACAAATGAATCATCATGGACTACTCTTGGGTAGCAGGGGAGAGGAAAAGCTCTTCGTTATACAAAGTCCATTTGAAATGCAAATCTCACTATGGAAATGATTTTTGAAAGAGATTAAACACTTCTATTAGTTTCTAGGTATAATATTTTAAAGTCCCATCTGAGAGATGATTTTCTCAGCCAAACTACATATTTCAGGCACTGGTATGTGATTAATTCATTGGTTCATCTCTTCATTCGGCTGAGATTTATTGAGAAGCTACTATGTGAAAGGTACTGTGCTAGAGCCTTGGAAATATCCAAATAACAATCATAATTATGATTATAATAACCAAAGTTTATTGAGTCTTTGTTATACATCCAGGTCTATGCTAGGCTCTTGATATATCATCTAATTTAATTCTTACAGCAACACTATGAGATATGTGTTATTATCCCTATTTCTCAGATGAAGAAACAGAGGCACAGATTAGTAAAGCAGCTCACCTACAATCCCACAACCAGTAATTGGAGGAGTCAAGTTATGAACCTAGGCAATCGGACTCTAGGATGTGAGCTCTTAACTGCACATGGGTTCTGGTCCCCTCTGTACCAGCAGAGTCTCAAGATCTAAGTGCCTGCCCCGGAAGCCCTATTTTGAGCAAACAGCCGAGGGTAGCTTCTTGTGTGCCAGTTGCCACACTGCAGCTCTGGCGGGCACAACCTTGCACAGCTAGGATCCTGCACCAAACCCATAGGCAAACCTCAGTGAGCAAGCCTGGGCTCTCACAGTGGAGTCTGTCTCAAAGAGTGTGAAAATAAGATGTCAGAAAGAAACAGTTGTTGGAGGTGCACAGAAACAGCCAACTAAGAGGTGGAAACCATAAACCATAACTCACCAGCAGCCATAAATTAAAGGGAAATTAGATGCTCAAAGGGCCTCAAGGCTTTCTCATTTCCCTCTAAGCCTGAACAACACCTGCAATGAAGCAAAAACACTTCAAAAATGAAAACAAAACAAGTTAGAAATAGAGGGAAATAAATATAAACATTTTACATACAAATGAAAAAGATGAATAATTGTGTTCAACATAACTTAGCAATTTATCACCTCTTGCCCCCAAAATGTTTAAGGCAAAAGGAACAAAATCAAATGCATACATGATCCAGACAAGTAACCTGTGACATAATAAAAAATACATACTCGGTCTCTGCCCAGCTTCCTGACACAGAACTCCTAAAATCCTTGGAATTGCCTGAGTGATAGGAATGAGAGGAGAATCTTTTTTTTTTTTTATAAGCCCCTGTCAAGCACACCTGAGTTTATGTTAATGAACTGGCTCTTGGAGGATGGGGGGCTTGTTCCACTAGGAACCAACCTCAGGATTAGAGAGGGTTGGAACTTCAACCCCACTCCACCACCACCTCTGGGGAGAAGAGAGTAGAGAGGGGCTGGAGACTGAATCACCAGTGGCTAGTCTTAAGTAAAGCACTTTCCTGATTCTGGGAGCTGTTCCCACAAATTATCAAACCAGAGGAGGGGGTTGTGGAAAACCTCGATTTTAGCCAGTTCGTCAGAAGCACCGATGACAATTTGGGATTAGAGATTAGCATCTGATGTGGGCTTTAGTCTTGTGGGACTGAACCCTGAACCTGTGAGGTCTAAGCATTGAGTGAAACTCTGGGACACCCCGTTGGTGTCCACTGAAAATTAGAGAATAGCTTAGGGTGGAAAACCCACACGTTGGTGTCGGAAGTGTTGAGAGTAGAAGGAAATAGTTTTGCTTTTCCTTTTAGAACTGCAATAAGTGAATTATGTAAGCCAAACACAATATGGGGTTTAATCTGCCCCATAAATTCCCAGATTTATGGAGACTTGAATGTATTCAATATAGGAAAAAATGTTCAAGGTGTTGCAGTGTGTGTTTTTCCACACCACCAAGCAATTAACTCAGTTTTCCTCCGACCCTGCCCAAGGTGTTCCACAACCTGAACTCAGTTCTGACACTACCTACCTGGAGCTAGTGTGTCAGATCCCCCAGGTTAAGGGCTCAGCCCCACGAGACTGCTCCCACTTCAGATGCCAAACCAGCTATAAATTGGAGGCTTTCC